GTTTCTGTTAATAAATACCTGTTTCATTGCAGGGAATGTGCTTTAAAGCACTACGTGCAGCTAGTCACTGCTTGCCCACCTTTAGGTGTACACAAAAGTCTGCTTTTCCTATAAGAATTATTTATTAAACCAGTGAAGGAATGTAGCCTGGTAGAATTTAATTCTTTGCTGGGTCAAACTTGGCTCCATTGCTGGCACCAAGTCCAGTCACATCCATGTCTTGCAGGTACCAGCACAGTTAACCTGGTCACAGATTTACCAAGCTTTATTTAACATGAATTTGGCTTTTCTCCCTTTCACAGCAGGCTCTCCTAAATCTTGCCCTTTCCTTACCATGAGAGAAATTTAACATTTGGCTCCTCCCTGGTTAGCAGGCTGGGAGTGTTTTACCATAGCAAAAGAAGCTGTTGTGTGCTCTGGCTGCCCCTATAAACACAACCCAAATTATACAGTCTTTACACCCTGGAACTCAGGCTTTCCAAGCATTTCTTTCTGGTGGGTTAATGTTTGTGCTGTAATCCAAGTTCCTATTGAATAGAGGAGAATCATTAAGGTTGGAAAAGGTGTCCAAGGTTGAATCCAGCCTTTCACTGATCCCCAGTGTGTCAGGCACAGTGAGCAGGAGGTGCAGGTAGATATGTGTGGGTGACTGCAGACAGCTTCCAGCATCATTCATTTCTGTCAGCCCAGAAATGACACTGCTGCACAGGGCAGAAACACAAAATAATTGTTTTTTTGAGGGGCTTGCAAAACCTCAAGGACCTGCTTGCTTTCTTACCATAAAACATCAGTGCTGAAAACTTCTTATTAGGTTGAAATTGAATCTTAAAAGCCTGAAGAAGCGCCAAACCACCCTGGCTCTTTGCTAAAAGTGCTGGTTTTGTCTGTCAGGACTGCAGAACCTGGCAGTGGCAGTGGGGACAGAGCCAGGCAGCCCTGCCCAGTGTCCCTTGTCCCCTCTTCCTTGCAGGTTTTCACACAGTCGGAACCACCTGAGCTCTGCCCGCTGACACTCACCTTCCCTGCTGCTGCTGCTGCTGCCAGGGGGGAAGGATTTTTTCCAGCTTCATAAGAACTACATCTCTAATCCAGACCACCATCTGTTGGATGTGACATTGTGATGGACCCCAGGACATTTCAGAGCCTTCATGTTAGCCGTGTTTCCATGATAACCCAGGGTGGGTTTGCAATGCAAGTACAATTTAGACCTTTTGCAGAACCCGAGATGGGTGGTCTAATTGTTTTTACAATGTAATCAATGCAGTTTTTAATTGTTTTCCTACAATGGATGTGTCCATTTTGGCTTGGTTTGATTCACAGCTTGTTTCTGGTAAATGCCTGGCTGCTGGAAAAAGGGAGATTCTCTTCCATTGATGGATGTTTCACAGGCAAGTCTGATGGGTTTAGTGTCCTGCCCTTCCTAAAGAAGTGTTTGTGAGCAGTCTTGTGTGAGTGCAGGGACATTGGGAAGCTCTCCAGGCACTTAGGGCCTCTGGGAGAGTCAGAGCAGCTCTCCAGTTGTTCTGGAGGATCACTTGAAGCCCTTCACACACCAGGAACAACACTGCCCAGTGCTGCAGCAGCTGAGCTGATTGATACACGGTTGCTCTTTCCCAGCCTGTCATTTCATAGGAGGGGTTGCTGATTGTTCTTTTTTTGGCTCTGGGACATCATTTTGTGTTAGGCCTTAGTTCATCTACTTCAGGCAACAGCAGAACTTGTCTTGGGTCTGCAGGGAGCAGGAGGCAAAGGGGGTGTGGAGTCTTTGCTGTGGGAGCTGTGCAGTTCCTGGTGCTCCTGGCAGTGCTGGGCTGAGCTGGGCAGGCCCACAGGGGGCAGAAGGGTTAAAAAGGGGAGTGGGGGAACACAACAGTGCAGGGCTTTGGTTCACAGGGCAGAGGGACACTAAATAGCAGTTTTTGGTGTAAAAACCTGTGCTCTACAGGAAGACATAAGCTGGATGGCTCACAGCAGTGGGGTAGGGCTGGGAGTTCCCAAAAGCTGCTCTAGGCCTCCCTCTCCTTCTCAGCCTTCCCTTGTGGCTGCTCAGACTCACTGCAGCCACTCCAGCTGACAGGCTGGGCTGGTGTTTGGTAGCAGAGAAATTACAGCATCCACTGCTGTGTTGGCTGCTTAAGGTATCCCAGCAGAGCATCCCCAGGAGTTTTGCTTTCTGTATCATACTGGTTTATAAATCTTTAATTCAGGTAAGCACATGGATCTTAAATCTACATTTTAAAGGTCTAGAAAAATAGACTTAGGAGAATAACCCCTGATAGCTGTGAGATTGCTTAGAGAGCTGCTCTTTAACTGAGAAGAGACTGCCATGAAGTCAGCAGGAACTCAGTTACCCAGCTCTTTCTGTCTGGGTGTTTGTGTGTGGATGGGCTGGCTCACCCCAGAGCCACTGAGAACAAAGGCTGGAGCTGTTCAGCATTTTTTAATGACAGGCCACTTGGTTAGAAACAAGGCTTGGTTTTTGGTACTTAGACTCAGACCTGCAGATTTGAAGTGCTGGGCTGCAAGTAGCTCAGGGGGCCACAGGTTCCCTGCTCCTGGTGTAGGGTATTCTTTACCTTATGAGTGTCCTTTATTTCTCCTGATGGATAAAGCCAGGCTCAGCAACACTATGAACTTGTACAGTAGAGAAGAGGTGCTGCTGTTGGCTCTCTGCTGCAGGGCAGTGTTCTGTGCTGAGAGCCAGCTCAGAGCTTGCAGTTAGGAAGAACAGAACACACCCACTTTTCCCTCAGGAGGAGAAGGTAATGTACAGACAGGAGGCTTGGAGAGGGGGAAGGCAGAGGCTGCAGGCCAGCACAAGGGCCCCTGCTGCTTTTCAAGTTGCTGTTCACAGCAGTAGCAAAGGTGTTGATAAGGTACCCGTGTTGTTCCTCACATGCTCTGCAGTGCAACGAGGAAACTTTCTAAAGGAAACAATCCCCACCCCTTTGCCCAGTATTCAAAACCAATGGGTTTAGTTTTCAAAAACATTGAAAGGGATCTGCCACTTTCAATAAAGTAACAAAACCAATGAGGCTGGTGTAACTGTGTTATTGGGGGAAAAGGATTGGTTCCAGCTGCTTTTCTCTGAATTCTTCTTGGTCCTCCCCCACATCTTCTTCATGCATCTATAACAGAGACCCCAGAGCCAAGTGCTGAGTGTGCAAGGATAGCAGCTGCAGGCACATCAGTCCTTGCTGCTGGCACTCCACTGTTGGCAGAGGTAGAGCTGTGCACTGAGCACTGCAGGGCTTTGCTGGAGTTTGTTCATTACCTGCAGTCTTTAGACTCAGGTGAGACTGGCACCAGGGATCTCTGCCTTCCTCTTGGTGGGCAGGGGTGCCCAGGGAGGTGGTGGAGTCTCCATCTTGGGGGATAACCCACTGCACCATTGGTAAAGTTCCCTGAGGTGAGGTGCTTGCAGTTTTGCCAGGAATACCAACGATTTTGGCTTTCCTGTCTTGAGTTCCTGCACGTTAAATGCACAGACATTTGAGCTCAGCATTGTCAAACCAAGAAGGGACTTGAGCTGCCTGCTGTCCTTCCAGAGGCTCCTGGTTTAGAGACCCGACTCAGCCACTGCATCTTCAAGGGAGATGCTGAGCTGTGGGTTCAGCACAGCAGCAACAAAAGGATCATTCACTCACCAGCCCACAGACCTTAAGAGAAGATTCCTGCTCACTGTGGGAGCCCCAGTTTGGATGGAGAGCACTTGGTACAGGATGAGCTGGAAAACTACTGAGTAACTTGAACCTGGATGGTGGGCCCAGGAATGGGGATAGTGAGCTCAGGAATAAGAGGCTGAGAGAGTTTTATACCAAGATGCTATTTACTTTGAACAGTCATATTCAGCCACAGTATAACATGTCTAATCAATCCACATGGATACACCTACAACACGTAATTAAAAAAATAATAAATGAAGACACTAATAAATTAAGTACATTTAACTTAGATGGGACAATGGTCTTTGTAACAGCAGTGGCAAAGGCTGGGTCTGCAGTCACTCCTCTAGGATGCAAATGCCAAGCAAGAAAATCCCTCTGGATTCCCCCTCCCCTCAGTCCTCATCCCACAAATGCTTGAGACCATACCTGAACACTCCTGCTGGCCTCTGTCCATCCCACTGTCCCATGGCATCTCCACATTCCTCCATCCCCACAGCATGCAACACTTTCCTCTTGCTTTCACTGCTTCAACTGCCTTGTTCCTTCCATTGCTACACAAACACTTTTCTATCTAACACAAACCAGAGTCCCCACAGGCCATCAAAGCCACGTCCAACAGCACCTTGTGGCACTTAGCAAATGTCAGTCCTTCTGTGGAGGCACCCAAAGGTGACAGCTGTACAAAAGAGAACAAGCTGCAAACATTTCAGATTTAATACAGAAATTTAATAGAGTCCACAGACACTAATGCTCCATCTGGAATCCAGTGACTTTTACACCTTCATGAGAAACAGAAGATGGATCCCACCCTGAGCTGAACTAGAAGATTAGGGATTTTCACAAGTCTTTGCATGACAAAAGCACAAGCAACACTGACTTTCAGAGGCTTGTTCTCCTACAGTGCTTAAATGCCTTGAAAACACCCACACCAGAGTGGAGAGTGTTTGCCATCCCATGCCTTACTTAACTCTTACTAAGGGATAAAGGAACTGGAGCTGTGATATGAGAACAGTGATTGAGTTCAGAGGACAAACCATGCACCCCCCTGCACCGAGCCACAATCCACCAACACCTCCACAGAGACTGAGCTTGCCTGGAAAGCTGCTGCCTTGGCAGCTCCTGAGGAGCAGAGCTGTGCTGGGAGAGCTGCAGTGGCTGCTCAGGATGAGCTGGGAGTGAGGCAGCACGTGGTGTGTCCCTGTTTGTCTGAGGCAGCTGTGCCAGCAGGCTGATGTTACAGCAGCAGAGCAGCACAGGCTGTGCTGCCAGCCCCACCAGCAGCAGGGCAGGGAGCCCTGGCACCCACTGCTGCCAGCCAGCTGCACCCCTGGAGGCTGCTGGGTTTCCCCCATTGGTGCTGATCATCCAGTCAAGATGTAAAAGAAGGTGGGGCCAGCCTTGAGGGCAGGTGAAGGTGTCACTGTACAGGTACATGGAACAAGAACCCCTCCATGATAGTGCAGCCAGCACTGCTCTTGTTGGGCTCTCTGAGCAGGTCCAGCTGGAACAGACTGACCCTCTCCCACACCCTTGGGAATGGATGTGATCCCTGGCTGCAGCCCCACCTGCCATTCTGGGGGGAAGGAGCCTCCTGGCTCTTTGCTTTGCCAGCTCCAGAGCCTCCTGTTCCTGCCTGGTTGTTGGTGTTGCCAGCAGAGATCCAGCTCTGCCCTGCATCACTCTGTGTGAGTGTCCCTCTCCTTGGGCAGCAGCAGGCTCGACCTGGCTGGAGAGCTGGTGGCTCTTTTGATCACCTCCATCCACCTGCCAAGAAAAGACATGAGAAATGTTTAACCCTCACTCACAGGGAACCTTGTGCTTTGTTATGAGCTGTACCCCTTTCCAAAACAGCCATTTTCTTTCTTTTACAAGTCTTCTGGAGAATTAACTCTTCAAAGGGACACCTTGAGATGTGGCAAATACCCTGCAGAATGTGGTTGCCTGTCCAAGTAATGAGTCCTCAGTGCTCTGAGCTCCAGAGAACTCTCATGAGAGCTCACTGTGCTCTCTCCTCAGTGTTACCAAGGGTGACAAGCTGATAATAATCATTGCTTTTCTTAACAATAAATTACTAAATAGGTAACAGCCTTGCTTCTGTGGAAGAAAGCAAAGCAACAGTGAAAAAAGCAAGACAAATCCACTGTGAATTGGACATTTTTGCCCTGAAATCCTTACCAAGAGCCCAGTGCATTAAAGAGCACAACTTATGGCTGAGGTAGCTGATACCTCAGCTGTTCACAAGTGTGTGACACTCTCCCAGGGAAGGGGGACATGTGACACCTCAGTAAAACCACATTCCAAAACTACCACTCCAACCCTGCATGGCAGGACCCAGGGCAGGGGTTCTCAACACAGCAGCAAAGTTTTGTGGTGCATTTCACACAGTTTGGACTCTGTGGAAGCCCCTAAGAGCAATTAATTGTAATTACAGAGGGTAATAATAAAATGTGATTACAGAGAAAGCAGACAAGTGAAAGGGAGCCCTGCACTTGTTGCTCTCAGCCTTGTGTTGTAACTTCTGCTCTCAGAGATGGAAGATAAAAACCAAAAAACTCTTTCCAGAACCTGGAAATCTGACTCCCAAGAGCTGGAGGAGCTGAGAGCCCACAGCCCTTCCCCTCCCACACTGGCTCCAAGGAAGCCCCAGACTCCTGGCACAAAGCAGAGCTCTCAGCTCCAGGGGTATCCCCAGCTCCCCCACACACAGGAAGGTTCTGTCAGAGGAGGGATCTCCAAATATCACTGGTGGGAAAAAGAAGGGAATGTTATTCCTGAGAATGAGCTGGAAGATCACTCAGACTAGGAGCAAAGAGAGTGTGGCATTCACATTCTATGAACAGAGAGAGAGATAATTCTCTCACAGGATTTTTCCTGGAGAAGCACAGAGAGAAGAAGAAGAGAAAACAATTCTCATCTCTACTTGCTGCTCCTGTTGTTTTTGCATATGTGGAATGTGTTAGGAAGATTGTTTACCTGAAGGGATTTGGTAATTGGATTCTGGTGATGGTTGTTTATATTAATTAATCAATCACTCAGAGCTGTGTCCTGACTGTTGGGAGACAGCCCTGAGTTTTCTTTAGCATTGTAATTACTAGTTATTGTATTGAATTTAGTAGTTATTGTCTTAATTTATTTACAATAAAATAATTGTAATTAATTTTGTATTTTCTTTAGTATGGTAATTTAGTATAGTATCTCTTTATAGTATTATAGTATATTTATAGTATTATAGTATAATGTAATATAATATAGTTTTGATAAAGCAATTGTTCAGCATTCTGAATCAATGCAATCACATGCCAGTCATTCCCTGATTACTATAAAAGAGGATGGAATGATCAATCACTGATTTAAGAGCAGGTTATAAACCAAGACAGAGAAAACAGAAAATTACCTCTCAAAGGTGTATTTGCTCTCAGCCCTGAAGAAATAGACGTGGGACTTGAACTGCAGCTTGAAGACATAATCCTTGTGAATGCCATCTGCCTCCACAGGGCTGCTGACCGTGTAGCCCAGCAGGGGGAGGCTGGCCAGGGGATAATCATCCTGCAAGAGCCCAAGAGCCCAGCCCTGAGTGCCAGGCACCCTGAGTGCCCCGGGGCAGGGCTGTGCACTCTTGCTCAGGAGACAACAGCAGAACTCTTCTGCAAGGCCACCAACAGTTTATAATTAAACCTTCCCCCAGCTCTTTTCATTTTTTAATGGTTATATGTTTCTGCTCCTCTGCCCAATGCTGCCTCCTGGGCTCCCTCTTCCTTCTTCTTCAAGAAGCCAGAATAACCCAATTACTGGGTTATCACAGTTTATTTGGTTAATAAGATGAAAAAATTGCACTGCACCATGGTTCATTATCAAGCAGGCACTGAATGCACCATGGGCAGAAAAATCCCTGGAGCCTGTCAGGCTGAGCTGAAGCCCAGCACAGAGAGAAGTGGGCAAAGAAGGCCCAAAGGCTGCTCACATCCCCTCACATCCCTCAGTCACTGCATGAGGTGACATTTCCCCCTCACCCACACAAGTTCAGCACCATCAGAACTGGAAATTCTGATTAAGTTCCACAGGAAGTGTGTTGTCATCTTATCACAGGGGTTCCATACTGTTGTCTCTTTACCTCAAAAGTTTAATATCTTCTGGTGTTTCTCATGGGCACCTCCTCAGAACACTGACTCTTGCTTTTTCACAAAGCAGCCACCTGACTCCAGTTCCCTTCTCACCCAGCCACCCCCCTCTTTTATAGCATCTTCTTCTCATTGCTTACAGCTGTGGCCTGTTAAAGTCAGGCCTGTTCCTAATCTTTATAATTGGCCCAGCTGCAACTCCTTAGGAGTAAGATTACTTTCTACACTATCTTTATTTTCTTATATTCTATCCCCCTACAGAAGTGCCCACAGCCTTTCAGAGACCAGCTCCATTATGAATTGCCTCCTCTTCCCCTTGGACTCTCCCTCAAACAGCAGAGATTGAAAGGCCAGGATCCCCAGGTGTCCCCAGGACCCTGCCCATCACCCCCTCACCTGGTGTGTCTTGTAGAAGAACAAGCAGAAGTTGGTGAAGACAACCCACAGTTTCTGCCAGCCATTGCTGTTCTTGAACTTCCTCAGCAAATACCCAGAGAGCTGATTCTGGCACAGAAGGAAAAGAGAATTCCCTGAAATCACAGGCTGCCATCCTGCTGCAGCCCAACGCTGCTCCAGGCATGGTGACAGCCACCAGGGTCCCTCCCTTCCAGCCACCCTTTCTGACATGCAGAAAAGCCACGTGGAACACACTGTGTGAGAAGGGAAATAAAGCAGGAGAGGACACAGAGGATTGCAGAGCTGGGAGATAAACAACACTGGCAGCTACACCAAGCAAAGCTGGCGTGGAAGGGGCTGCAGGGAGGGGAACACCACTGCCTTGGAGTCAGCCAGCAGCAGAGGGAAGCCTCTGGCATGGAATGGCAGCACAGGAATTTTGTAATTTGAGAAAAAGACAGGATTTGTGGCAGATTTACAGAGAGAACCATTTTTTTGAGGCATAAACAGGAGAACCTGTCTTAACAAGGCAGTGGTACACGTCTGCCTCTGAGGATGAGGATCCTCACGTGAGCAGTTAGGAAGCAGGACATTTTCCTGGACATCCCATGGCTCCTCCCCACCAGCACAACATGTGAGAGGCATCTTTACCTGGATCATGCACAAGTAATCAGACAGGGAAAGGCTCTGGTTCCGGTACCAACAAACATGGGTGATTGTGTTGGGCCGTTGCGCCTGGCCCAGCAAATAGCGAGGAGGAAGCTCTGGAGAAACAGCAAGAGAGCAGAAAACTGAGCAGAGAAAGGAGGAGAGAAAGAGAAAAACAGAATGTTAGGGTGAAAGGAGTGATGCAAGAAAGGTGGCTGTCAAAGGAAAATGGATTGTGAAAAAATGACGGTGTTAGAACATGGAACAGATCAGAGAGCGAGTGCAGGAACTCACACGTTCCATCCCAGAGCCTGCAGCAGGGTGGGCCTGTTCTCCATGCACAGAACTGTCAGCTGGTGTCTTTGCCCAGCTGTCAGCAGGGAAAGGCCTGGCCTCTCCAACAGAAACCACAACAGCTCAAGAGCCCAATGTCTGTACCTTGAGCCCAGGTCACATCTACAGCACTTCCTTACCCAGCTGATGCACACAGTCTCGACCAGAAAAACACAGGAGCTCCAGTACCCAAAAGTTTAACCCCCCCTTAAACAAGTGCCTCAAGAGCAGAGCAGGACAGGCAGGCACAGACACAGCTGCAGCCCCTGCCCCATTGCTTTTGTCAGGTTAGTGACCTCCTTTTTCTGTCCATGTTATTTAGGGTCCTTCCCATTTCTGGAAGTCTTCCCAGCCTCCAGGCAGGTGTCCTGCCCTGCCAAACTGCTGCCTAAAGTAAAACCAGAGTTGCTGCAAGCAGTGTAAGGAGTGCTGAGCTGATCAGCCTTGAAATCTGCAGGATTCAGTGCCCAAATGTGCCACCAGTGCTGCCTTGCACTGTGGGGAACAGCAAGACTGCAGGAACCAGTGGCTCACAGAACCCAAAAAGGTTTGGGTTGGAAGGGACCTTAGAGCTCATCTGGTTTCAACCCCTGCCATGGGCAGGGACCCCTTCCTCCAGACCAGGTTGCTCAGACTCCCATCCAACCTGGCCTTGAACACCTCCATAATGAACACCTCTGCTCAGCATAAAATGATGGTGCCATGAAAAGACACTTGGCTGCTCAGTCCTGCCAGGAAGGGAAGGGCAGAGAATTCCAACTGAACTCTCTCTTCTTAATTCTGGGTGCAGTACAGCAGCTAAGCAGAGCTCAGTACAGCAGTCAGTCTCTAAAGGAAAATATCATGGAGAGGGGACCATTATAATCATAGAACCATTAAGGCTGGAAACGACCTCCAAAATCATCAAGTCCAACCTTTGACCTAATCCCACTTAACAATTTAGCAAAGGGCCACATCCACACATTCTCTGAACATTTCTGGGGATAGTGACCCCACCACTGCCCTGGGCAGCCTGTTCCAATGCTAATCACTCTTTTTGCTAAGAAATTCCTCCTGATTCTCAACTTGAACCTCCACTGTGCAGCTTGAGGCCATTTCCATCTTGTCCTGTCCTTGTTCCCTGGGAGCAGAGCCCAACTCCCACCTGGCTGCCCCCTCCTGTCAGGGAGTTGTGGAAAGCCAGAAGGTCCCCCCTGGAGATGCCATGGGACAGAGAGAGAAACAGCAAGCATTTCTCACAGCAGCTTGTGGAAAGTTTTAGGGAGCTAGAAAGATGTGATAACTTGTTGACTATAAACAATTTGCAAGTAGTGTTTTTCTACTTTATTTTTCTGTTCCTCTCAAAGACAGTGCATGAGAAAGATGTTTCTGTTAGTCAGCCAATAGAACAGAATCTATTGTACCACTCTATAAAAACCACGCTGTTCTTTTGAATAAAGCCTTCTTTGCCTTTGCTAAAAAAACCCCCAAAAATAAAACCAAAAAAACCACAAAAAACACCCCCCTGAGCCTTCTTTTCTCCATGTTGAGCCCCTCCAGCTGTTCCTGGTGCTCCAGACCCTCCCCCAGCTCCACTGTCATTCTCTGGACACGCTCCAGCCCATCAAGGTCCTTCTTGTCAAGAGGGTCCCAAAACAGACCCCTGGATTTGAGGTGCACCAGCAGTGCCCAGCAGTGCAACAGCAGTGCCAGTGCCCAGCAGTGCAGCAGCAGTGCCAGTGCTCAGTCCTCCAGCAAAGCAGGGTGACACCCAAAGGAGAATTCAGCCCCAGCATATCCTGGCTTTCCTTTAACCCTTCCCCGCTTTGCTCCTGCTGCCCAAGCAAAGCCCTGCTGCACGGAGAGCAGACACACAGACAGCCAGACAGGGGACAGCATGCAGAGGGGGTGGGTGGCCACGCTCTCCCTGGGCACAGGAGCTGTGCCAGGCTGAGAGGGGGCAGGAGGGGCCAGGGCTGGCCCGGGTACCTCGACGGCCGCGCTGTGGTCGGCCATGGAGACGCTGGTGCTGCGGTACCAGCACACGTGCACCGTGGTGTTGGCACGGGGCTGGCTCTGCCTGTCCAGGGAGCTACGGGAGGAGTGAATGTCATCTTCTGACTCCTGCTCTACTGACACCTCATCAGAGGATCCTGGGGGGCGAGAACGGGGTAGTGCTTTAAGTAAACTGTGCAATAGAAAAGGAAGAGAAGCTGGGATGCCTGAGAAAGGAGGTTTTCTCTTGCCATGGCCGTGTTTAAGAATGTCACACTGAACTGGTTACACAGCTCCTGCACCACTCTGAGCACGTCAGTCTGGGTTTCATTACTCAGTTCTGCCTGGGGCAGCTGGCTCACAGGATCAAAGGATGGTCTGGGTTGGAAGGGACCTTAAAGCTCATCATTCCAACCCCCTGCCATGGGCAGGAACACCTTCCACTAGAATAAAATCACAGAGTGGTTTGAGTCAGTACTGTGACAGTTCTGTTCCTTGAGTCAAGGAACAGAACAGAGGTCTCCAAGAAAAAATACTCCATGTTCCAGCCATAGCACCACCAGACAGGCACAGGAATACTGGGCTATAAGTGCTGACCTCCAGAGACTCTACATTTTGGACAAAAAAAACTCACCACTTAGTTAAAGTGAGAAAAATCTATGTGAGGGTTTTTAGGATTTTATAAAACCCCTTTATAAGGGACCTTATAAAATTAACAACTCTGCAATGGGAGCATCTCTGCTGCATTTAAAGCTATCTTGAACATCAGTCTAGGAAGACAAGGATATCTCTTTTGATTAAAACCAAAGCCCAATTAATTCTCCATCATCATATGAACTATAAAAATATGTCATTTATGTCCTCAGACTCACAGAAGGCAAAGCAGAAAGGACAGGACATCTGCTGCTTTCAGGGGGCAGGGAACAGCACTCACTGTTGGAGCGGTTGCAGACGGAGTTTTCCAGAAGCATCTCCGATTTCTCTGTGGATTTCTTGGCCATCTCAATGGCCACATTCAGATCTTCCATCCACTTGCCCATCTCCAGGCGGGTGCTGCAAGGGAAGCAGGGGCAATGGGCATGTGCCAGCCCAGGGCTGTGCCCAGGGCTGAAGGCACAGGTCACTGCCCAAAACAAGGCACAGAATCGTTCCACTAGGTAAATAAAATAAAAAAAATTAGAATTCCTCCGAAGCAGGAGCTTTCCAGAGGGAAAACTGACCTCATACAGCCTCCACCTCTATAGTCAAGCCTTGAAACAAGATTAAATTAACAGTTAAACACTTGGACTTTACAGCAAATAAAATGAACAGACAGCTGGCAGGGGTCAGGAGAAGAATTCTGGAACATTCTGGGGGATATGAGCCATGATTTTTTTGAAGGATAAATGGCAGCCTGAAGCACAGCCCATCTTTTAAAGAGCATCTGGCATCTCAAGCAAGTAAAACCCAGAGTGCAGGAAGAGGAAACCTCCTTCCTCCTTCCCAGGATCCTACAATGTGAGACCTTCCCAGCCCTTCAAGGTGTATCTGTATCCACAGGGATGCAACAGTGGCAGGTTTGGCTTTAGACACAGCCACAACATTTCCTTGTTTTGGTAACCACCCCTTTTTTCTGAAAGTTTTTAATTTAGACTGAAAATTCCACACGTGGCCTAAGCCTAGCAGCAATTTTTATTTTTGATAGGTAACCTTTGAGCTATTTTAAAGTCATGACAAGGTAAAAATTCTATTTATTTTTCTAACTTTAGGAATCTTTCAAGTACCTTATGACTCACAGCTGCTGAGAAATGGTTGATCTTAAAAAAAAATAAATTCCATTCTCAGGTGTTAGGTTGGAATTTAAAAAAATATATCTGCATACCAAACATATTGGCTCCTGTGCCACTACACACCTGATTTATAAATATAGTGTAGTGGTTATTTTTCAAGAACAGGTCAGCAAGCAGTAAAACCCCTGGGATTTAAGGTTGAGATTTAGTGCTCCCACCCTGCATCATTGGCATTCCTGATTCCAGCTGGGTTTTCACAGCAGACTTACAGAGAGACAAAAACTCCTAAAGCTGATCCTGACTCCTTCAGGAGCCACCCTAATTACAAAAAGGCACCAAACTCACTGCACAGGGATAATTGAGGCTGAAAAAGGATTGTTTTATTTTCCAAGTCAGCCTTTAATTGTTCCCCAGCTTCCTCCATGAGATTGTGCAGGAACTGTCCCCTCCTCACAGCAATTCATATGTTCTGAATTGTCATTCTTTGGATCTCTAAAATATTTGTATGTTTAGATTTTTGTCTTCTGAAGTGGTTTGAAGGATGACACTGGCAACTCCCAAATAAACAAACACAATGGCGAACTTATTGCTGCTGTTTGTGTTTTGGGTCAGACAGAAACACAGAATCACAGAATCACTGGATGGTTTGGGTGGGAAGGGACCTTCAAGCCCATCTCATCCCACCCCAGCAGGGCAGGGACACCTCCCACTGTCCCAGGCTGCTCCAAGTCCTGTCCAGCCTGGCCTTGGGCACTGCCAGGGATCCAGGGGCAGCCCCAGCTGCTCTGGGCACCCTGTGCCAGGGCCTCAGCACCCTCACAGGGAAGGATTTACTCCCAATTTCCCATCTAACCCTGCCCTCTGGCAGTGGGGAGCCATTCCCCCTTGTCCTGTCCCTACAGGCCCCTGTCCAAAGCCTTTTTCCATCTTCCTTGTCAGCTCCTTCAGGCACTGCAAGGCCACAATTTGGTCACCCCAGAGCTTCTCCTCTCCAGGAGAAGGAGAGGAGAACAAGCCCAGCTGTGCCAGGCTTTCCTCCCAGCAGAGCTGCTCCATCCCTCTGCTCACCCTGGTGCCTCCTCTGGACTCTCTCAGCAGCTCCAGGCCCTTCCTGTGCTGGGCCCCAGGGCTGGGGCAGCTCTGCAGGTGGGGTCTCACCTGAGCAGGGCAGAGGGGCACAATCCCAACCCCTTTCCTGCTGCCCACCCTGGGATCAGCCCAGGATAAACTAACTGCTGCTTCTCAAAATCCAACACTGAAAAAGGAGCTGTGAAGAGTCCTGGGCTTATTTTGAAGTCCAGAGGGTGCATGAAACACCCCTCTGGCTCTGCACCACTTGAGCAGTAACTTTCTGGAGAAGGAATGCATCAAAGCCACAGGAAAAGCAGGGTTACCTGGCTGCCACTACTATGGTTTTCTGTGCAGAATAGATTGTGAAGCAGTGTGGGACAGACCATTCATTCTCACTCTCCTCCACCTGCAGGAAAAGAAAAGATTTTTCTCATCAGTGCTCAGTCACCAATAAACACTAAAACTGTCCTGTGCTGGCTGGGACTGGAGTCAAACAGGATTCCAGCCTGGCTGCAGGAGTGCAGAACAGCAACTCTCTGATGAATACCAGCTACTTTCAAGTCTATTTTGGCTCTCTATGGAAATCTATGGTGTGTTTCTACTGCAGGGGCACAGCAGCACTTCCAGCAGGGCAGGGAAAGGAAGGGTTGGAGCAGATTTGGCTCATTACTCACCGGGGGGTCAAGCACTATCAGCTGCAAACCAAAGACAGAAAGAACAATCCTGTTAGAAAAGGTGTGGGGAGGCAGGAGCATTGATTACATGCCCAGGTGTGTGCAGGGGGACAAAACACCAGAGTAAATAAATCCCTATTTCCAGATCAGCCTCTCACAGAGTGTGAAAATGAATGGGCAAAAGAGTGTGCTCCAGCTCTTTGGCTAATGTGGAAGGAACAGACTGATCACCTGCAGATAAAGAAAGCTCTGTTTGACACATATCAGGGTCCAATTGCTGCTGAGACCTGCCTTGGAGCAGTTTGTGGCTTTGGTCCTCGTGTCCTGAAGGATTTCCTCAGCCTGCCTTAGGCAAAGCCATTTCCTTAACCCTGTAGTGCAACATGGAACCACTTACCAACATGCCATGCAGAGAGAGGTGTCCGTGGATTTTGAACTGATTTGTCCCTGTGACCCCTTTGCTTGTGTACAGTAACATATCTGAGAACTGGAAAGGCAGGAAGAGAACAATCAGTGCTCTGAAAGCAGCAGGCAGGGCCAAGGATTTTTTGACATCTCCTTGAAAATCTATTGTTTAAAGGCCACTGTAGATGCATGAAAAATGCCATTTCTCAGCCAGTTTGGCCAACTACCCTTCCAACCTCTCTTTTGTTTACTCATAAAAGAGGAAAATAATTTTTTTAATTCTGTTAAAACTCTGTGCCATTAAGGAACCAAGCTGACCAGAGAGTAGTACCACAACCACACCCTCTAAAAACATTGCTTAGCATGAGTTTTCAGTCTCAGGTGCCGATTTTAAGCACAAGTACATAAAAACACACTTCCCCAACAACTTTATCTTGAAGACTTTGGGTTTATAAAAGTCAGGAGCAACACCCACCAGAAAGAACATCCTCTGCTGTAAGCCCTTCTTAGTGAGCTTGTACAAGCAACCTTCCCGGATAAACTCCTGCAGTGGAAAAGGAAAAGTTAAACCATATTTGATCTTCCCTGACTTGAGGGAATTTTATTTTCATCCCAGAGTACACAGCTGTTGATTGATGCCCAGCAATGACCACTAACAGATTTCTTGGAGTCAATGACACCTTCCTTCCTTTTTTGTGACATGAATCAGCTCCTTGCTGCAGCCAGCATTTAAATCAGTGAAGGAAGAGAGGGGAAAGGAGCAGAATTCCTGTTGGACACCAGCAGTTCACCTATCACACTTACATCCCACTGCAGTGACTGCCAGAGCATCCCCAAAGCCCATGCAATGCTCCTGTATTTATATCAAAAACAAACAAAAACCCAGGCAGGAACTGCACAAACTCCTGTAATACAGAGGCACCCACACCAGTTCAGCCCAGTGCTGTGCTCTCACCACCCCTGTGCTCTCTGAGTTTGCACCAGGCAGACACAAGCAGAGCTGGGAGGGCATTTCCAGTAGGACACACCCCAGCACACCCAGTATCTGTACTGGGAACACAAAACTGAGCCAGAGTTTAAGCAGAATCTTCCTGATCTATTCCTCAGAATATCAGTAAGGTGATGATCCCATCATCCATGGCATTCACTAAGGGACAGTTACATGAAGTTACACAGACCAGAGGGGCAGTGATGGCAAATCCACTCTTCAAAGGCACTTCCTTGGAGATAAAACCAGCAAAGGCTCTAAAAACTAAGCAGAGGCACTTACCCTGCCAGGTGCTGTGAGATTGTCTACCCCAATCAGGTCATGCTGCAGCTCTGTAAGCTTCTGGAAGTTTTCCAGGCGGATGAGGCTGTGCTGCAGCTGTGAGGTCATTTCTGTGACTTCCTTCAGGGCATCTGTGTGGAGAACAGCACCAATGGGACCAGAGCAGAGCAACCCAGGCCACCCATCTCACCCCTGGGAAACTGAATCTGAAATTAAGATCTGAAATTTACAGCCAATTCTGGAACAGAATGGTTCATATGGAAGGGACCTACAAGGACCACCCCATCCAAATGCCAATTTAAGTGTATTTTAGAGAAGAGTAAAAAGAGCAAGCAACTTCACAGCATTTCCTATGCTTCTGCAGATCATTGTGTATCTGAGGTTTTGCTTAAACAAAAAATATTCACTATGTAGCTGAAAGTAAATGAAAAAATCAAACCAAACTATTTCTGCCAAAGATTACTTTGTCATGAATGGACTTTACTACACACACTTCTGATGCTGCAAAACAAGCATTTTTGGTCACATTTTTACATTTAAATGACAAAAAGGTTGTAAAAAAACCTCCTCTTTCTTTCCCTGCTAGGAGACAAGAAAAGGATTAATTTTCCAGCTTTGGGATCCATCATGAGAAAACAACTTCCTGGAATGCCAGGAAAAGGAGGCACTTACATTGAATTTGTGGACATAACTGAAAATAAGTGAACCAAGTGTTCAAGGCCAGGCTGGACAGGGCTCTGAGCATCCTGATCTAGCAAAATTATCCCTGTCCATAGTGGAAGGGGAATGAACTGACTTTAAAGCTCCCTTTCAACCCAAACCATTCTGAGATTCTATGAGTGTGTAATTCTTGTGTTCCCAGGGCACAGGCAGGATTTAGGGCATCCATGGGGAGGGTGCTGCCAGCAGGACAGGGCTGGGCTGTAGGAGCCAGGGGGGTGGGATGGTCGGAGAGCAGAGATCTCTGCAGCCAGGTCAGGAACTTGGGGTTCATTGCAAAGGGCCTGGGTGCAGGGCCCTGCTGGGAGCTGCCAGGCACAGCTCAGAGCAGGACTGAGAGAAGAGAGGGGAGAGAGGATGAGAGGGAAAGAGAGTAAAAGGGCAAGAGCATAAAAGGGTAAGAGAATGAGGTTCCCGTTACAATACAATAAATCTTCTTCTGTGTTGAATCTAGTACAATCTTCTTCTAGTTGAATCTACTAACCAATCTAGTACAAGATACAAATCCTATAGCATTTCCATACAGCCTATAAGAATCCCTACATTACCCCACTGTGTTACATTTTAAACCCTATAAACTCCTCTTTGGGCCCCTTCTGCCAAGCTGTAGGGTCTGCTCTGACCCTTGGAGCTGCCTGCAAGCAGAGGGTGTTGTTCCATCAAAAGGGGATCACCTTCAGCCAGCCACACCATTGTTTTCTCATTGTTCAGTAACTGAGGTATCTCAAAGCTTGCTTTCATTTCAATCTCACTTACAGTTTCCATATTCTCAAAATCTTTTGCCAGCCAATCATATTTGTAAGGCTCTCCTGCTTCACCTTGCCCACACTGGGCGCTCACTCACTGCGGCAGTCGGCGAAGTCCCGGTGCTCTGCTGTGTAGTGCTTGCACAGCCTCCCCAGGATCAGCTTGTAGTGCATCAGTCTCTGGATGGGTTTGAGCAGAAAGGTGTTGAGGGGCAGGTAGCAAACCTTCTGCAGCTCAAACTCCTTATAAACCATCTCCAGCTTCTTGAGGCGTTTGGTTGCTTTCTCCAGTTCCGTCAGGACCTCGTCGTGTTTCTGCAGGTAACCGGTGAACTCCTGTGGAAATGGACAAAAAGTGACTTGGATCAAAGGAAAACAGCCTTTCACCATTAAAGGAAGTGGCAGGCAGCTCCCAGTCAAGGTCAAAATAGGTGTTTGTATGGCATTGTGCCTGTGCCTGCTGGGAATACCAAATGCTGGTGGAAATAGCAGTCCCACACTCCTGCACTCCCATTCAAGCCACTGGTTTTAATTAAATAATTACTCCACTACTGCAGCACTAATGTAACTGTCCCACATAGGCACTCTGCTGCACCAAATAAAGCTGATTTCATTTCAGAAGAAATTATTCTGCCTTGTGAATCAAGGTCTCAATAGGGGAGCTAAATAAATAATTTTTCTTTGTTTTCTGCTCAATAACCAACAAACACCTTTTCTCAAGGTAAATGTAGGTGGCTAAATAAGCAGCAGTGATACAAAACCTTCCTGCAATTATTTTACCATGCTTTTTTTAAAATTGTTTCTCAACAGTAACTGTTTGCAAGTTATTCAAGATTGACTGAAAAAGAAAAGGTTTAGATGAGATATTGGAAAGAAATTCTTCCCTGTGAGGGTGGTGTCAGATACTAGAATCTGATAGTTCATGGCTAAAACTTTGTTAGGAGCCTTTTTCCTGGTGTGTAAAGAAGCTACAGTCACAGAAGCCCAGCCCTCCCTGAAGATGCCTGCCTGGAACTTTGGACTGAGAGTTAAGATGCCTTGATAAGATAAAGGGAACACTATTATTCAATAATCATGGGCCTAGGGAAAATAAACAAGGCAGAGGGAAAAAAATGCATGCTCAAGAAAGCCAAACCCAGCAGGAAATCATGCCAGTCTGGTTTGGGTGGGGGAGGCCATAGCCCAAGAGGTCAGGTTTGCACAGAAGCCCCAGATAAAGGGGAGAGGAGGAGAGTTTTGGGTGCTTAGCAAAACCTCTGGTCAGAGGCAGTGAACCCCCATCTTCCCCCAGACCAACTGGATCAGTTGTAACCCCCAACCCCAGGATGGCCACATCCATGGGACATACACGGGGGAGGCAGCTGAGGGGGGGTCATAATCCATCAAAGACCCCCCCAAAGTGCTCCCCAGACTCATTCCTGTGGCCTTGCACCACAGGACTGCACAGGGATTCAGTCTGCTGCAACAGACTGTGTAAGACTGGCCCCCCTCCAGGGGAGGTACCTGAGCATTCCACCTGGCCTGAGCACATTTTAATCCCTTGGATTCTATGTTTTGTGGGGGACCCTCACCACCAAGAAGACCAGCTGGACAGGATCATCAGGACACTGGTGGGATGCACAGAGTGGTGATATTTCCTTTAATCTGTCCCTGTCCTGTCTTTCTGTTCCCCCTCCTCTTTTCTATTTCTTTCTCTTCCCTCTCTCTCTGATATTTACTATTAAATAAAGCCCATACTATTGACTTTGGCATATGGTCTTATTTGCATTTCTAATTTTTTTTGCAGTTCTAATAATTTTAAGAGCCAGACCATAACAGGTGGTGAGGCCCTGGCACAGGGTGCCCAGAGCAGCTGTGGCTGCCCCTGGATCCCTGGAAGTGTCCCAGGCCAGGCTGGCCAGGGCTTGAAGCAGCCTGGGATAGGGGAAGGTGACCCTGCCTTGGGTGGGGGTGGAATGAAATGGGCTTTAAGGCCACTTCTAACCCAAACCCTCCTGGGATTCTGTGATGAATGGAAATATTAACCCTGAGCTCTGATCCTTGACAAAACAAAACAAAACAAAACAGAACATCTCAATAATCCCCAAATTCCAGGTCTTGCATCCTGTGTTACCTTGAGAGCGTGCATGTTCCTGAGCATGACATCCCCGATGCGCTGGAAATCCCCCTTCACGTGGGCATTGCTTCTGCCTTCCCTGGAACACACATGAGGAGCAAAGAAAAAGGCAACATGCATGGGGAATCAAGAAATTTCTGTTTTCTCCCTCCATCTTCCCTTGTAATTCACAAAAATCTTTAGGCATTTGATATTCTGATTTCACTGTTCAGATTGAAAACTTGGTACGTTACATATGGATGCTGCACAAAACAGCAAACACAAAGACATGCTTAAAAAACTGAGAAAGGACTAGAAAGGAACTGGAGTGAAAGTCTATTTGAAAGCTTTATGTTTCATAAATGTCATGACAAGACCCCACCTGATTTTTGTGAATTTATTTTTGTTCATACTTTGTTTATGTTGATCACCTCCTTTTGAAAGGGAGTTATATTGTAATATATAACATGGCAGGTCAGGAGAAAATAATATAAAGTTTAAAAGACTAAAAACATCATCAATGAAATAAACTGCATTGCAAGAACCAAACTCCCACCTTAATCACAAAAATGTTTCCTAGACTTTCACCTGGAGATTTCATTAAAGGTGGGGAAAAAACACCTGCATCATCTTTTTGATCTCGTGTTCCTTCTTTTTTCTAAGGCTTAATAAGCACTATCAGGTTATATCAACAATTGATGATCTTAAACGTGTTTTCCAAGCTAAATGATTCTGTGATTACAAAACCCTCAGTCTGGTGCACAAGTCATACAGCTACAGGATATTATATACAAAGCAAAGATTGGAAAATGGCCTTTCTGCAACAAGGTCCATACTTTTTTCATAGCTTTAATTTCATAAAAGATTTCTCCTTGCTTCTATTGATGCGGAAATACCAACTGCAGTGTGGTTTTGATGTGAGGATGTATAAAGAGGTCCCCCTGGTCACTTACCAGAGGGAGAGCCTCTGTTCAATCTCCTTCAGAAAGCCTCTGTGGAACTCATAGATGGGGTCTATGTTGGAGAAGAGCAGGGTCATCAGGCCCTCGGGCATGGCGTTCTCCTTGATCACAGCACTGCGGAACCACTGCCAGAAAGCCACAAAGTCTCATCAATGTCTCTGCTTCAGAAATTCATGGTTAGCATGAAAATTCCTGCTCCTGCAGTGATGGGGGAGGAGAGGGTATGCACAGGGAAAAAGCAGGAAGGAAGAAGTAATACTTAGGGAAGACGTAATTTGTGAAAAATGAAAAGATGGGATTTTTTTTTTTTCCTTGCCAAATATGAGGAAGATGAGGCCCATGGCTGGCTGTGGGCACAAGCTGGTTTCTGAATGCAATGATGGGATGGTTGGGGACAGCTGAGTGACAGTCAGTTACCCAGGGGCTGCCCCAGCTGCTGCCACTTCCACGCAGATAAAACTGCTCTCATAGGCCTGGAGCCTGTGCCAGTCACTCAGCTGAAGACATCTTGTTGAGGTCACATTCCACACCTTTAGTGCTTCTGGCAGGGATGGGGATATTACAAAAATCCTCTGAGATTTTTCCCCCTTCTTTTAGGAGAAGTGCTAGGAAGCCTGTAGGAGGAATTGGAGTGAGATGGTGCTCAATGAGCTCACAGAGAACACCTCCACTGAGGCCACGCAGCATTGAGGGACTCAAGCTTTTCTTAAATGAAATTAAAACAACAGCTTATAGAAAGGCAACAGTCACAGTGCTCAGACATGGAGCTCATGAACAAAAAAAGCTCTTTTAGAACCACATGAACTAGGAATTCATGCTGCCCTCCAAACTGGGACTCACTTGTCTATTCTGGGTGAAAGGAGGAGGAAGAAACAGAAGCAACAAAACAAGAAGAAACTCTTCAAACCCCCATGGGTTCGATGCCCTTTGCAACTGCCACCTGCTCACAGATCCAAAGGCTAAAAGCTTTCCAAGGCTAAATGCTTCCCAAGGAAAACCACAGAGGACACAGCCAGGTTATAAGCAGAGCTGGCAGATATCACTGAAACAGAATGTTGTGCAGTTGCAACACAAAATCAGAGTTAGCCTGAAAACACAGATTACTAAAAATCATGTAATATGAACAAGGTAAGGGACTCCTGCAAAATATTTTTAGGCTTTCCTTGTTCACAGTTTTCAGAGCAAAAGTTTGCCTAGGTCATCAGGATGGCACAGGATGCAGCTGCTGGAAGTCCAGGGAAGGTATCTGCTCCCCCACAAAAGGAGCTATGCAACAAGGAAGGGGACAGCTACTTGGCTCATGGTTTATGCTACATTACAAGAAGAAATTCCAAGTTTTTCCAACCTAACAACCACCAATCTGTCATAAAAAGGGAAAAGAAATAAAGCAAAAGGCACTTACCACTGTAATGACCTCCAGGTCCTTTAAATAGGTGCGTTCTGTGGCGAGGATCTCCTTTGCTATGAAGTAGGCCTTGTCAGTGGGGCAGCGCTGGAAGGACACACAGACACCAGTGAGTTCTGCAACACAAACCTCCATTTCCTCCTGGGCATCAGCTCCAACCTCACATCCACTTCCCTTTGCTGTGTGCAAATGGAGCAGCTCGTTACTAACAGGACATCTCTTTGTTCAGTATCATACTCCCAAATGCTGACTTTACTAGAAAATATTCTTTCTATTGTTAGAGTATTAAAAATAATGCCAATTATCTGTCAATTATCTTAGAATCATAGATGGTTGAGGTTAGATGGGACCTTCAAGCTGATATCATTCCAGCCCCCTGCCATGGGCAGGGACACCTTCCACTACACCAGGGTGCTCCAAGCCCTGTCCAACCTGGCCTTGGACATTTCCATTACAGGAACTTCCATCTCAAATCAAGGGAGTACTTTACAAAAATATGGAAACACCTAATCTAAGATACCAAGATTTTAAACACTTCTCTAACCACCAAACACAGCCCAACAGATTTGCAAGCAGTCCTTTTCCAAAACTGTTTATTTCCACTTACAGCTTTTACTCAAGCTACTCCTTTGAAGACCACATTAATTAGCTAAGAAAAAAAGAAAATCAAACCACAGCAGTTGTTGGCTGCATGATTGCTCTGGGCTGCTCTTTAAAGAGAAGACAGAATGGATATGGAAAAACAAAGGAATGAAATGGTGGCAAGAGATGCTGTGCAGTTACAACACAAAATCAGAGTTAGCCTGAAAACATGTACTACTAAAAATCATGGAATATTAAGGAATTAGTCACTCTTTAAGGTAAGGGACTGCTTTGACTCCTTAGCTCACTATGCTGTGCTGTTCTGTGCCAAATGCCACTGAGTTATGTCAAAACTTGGTCTCCTCCACCTCTGCCCCTCCTGAGGGAAACACTGCTTTGAAAATTCTTTCTTCTGTTTCCTTGTATGTTCTGAGCTAATAAAAAATTCTCTTTATAGAGTCACTTTGAGATGCCTCCAGTGCTGTCAGCACAGCCCCTGAGTGTTTCCCAATCCTCCAGCTCAGTGTAACCCATGGAGGAGACATTCTCCTGCTTGCTCAGTAACCTCTGCATTCAGTCCACAGAATCCCTAGAGGAGTGTATCCTCAAATAATTAATTTTTAGACACTGTCTAGTCTCTTTTCAGGTTATTTTATTCTAGTTATTGTAGTTCCACATGTCAGCCCCCTCCCTGGAGGAAGCAGAGGATATAATCCTACTCACCCTACAACCATTCCCATCAATCTACCTGTCTCATGCTGTCAGGCAAAGTCCTACCTAATCCTGGCTTTTCTCCCTGGCCTATTTACCTGACTGCAGCCTCATTTGCTGTGGAAGCTCAGTGGGCATCCTCCATAAGCAGCCTCTTCCCAAAGGAAACATCATAATTTTCCTGGCCTCCCTGGCCTCAGGTGGCACAGTTTCACCATCTCACTTCTCAGTCTCAGTTCCTTACAGACAGGAGAGTTTCTGCTGTCAGGGATGTTTTCACACAGCTCTGGGTATATCCCCTTCTGGACTATGTACAGGATCTTACTGCACTTCTTACAAATCTTACAGAGCCTGCAGGTGTGTGAAATGGGAGCATGACTTCTACACAGGCAGGCAGTGATGGGGAACTTCTTTAAAAACTAAAACCACACCATGGTCATAACCTGTCACTTCTCACAGCCTGCATGGATCATGTTTTTCTCCACCTCTGAACACTTCTGCAGGTTTCTGCTTCATTCTCCAGCTGACTCTGTGCTCATCTGGGGCACAAGAGGGCTTTTATTTTTCCCAGGCACCTTCTCTTCCTTTCTCCCCCTGCAGCACATCAGCCCTTTCTGTTTATTCTCAGAAGTTCCTGCTCTTTCCAAATTGCTCCCTGGTGGAATTCAGTGCCCTTAACTTGCTTTTCTTTCAGTTTTGCAGGAGTCCTAAGTGCATCCCTTGTGCTGAGTGCTGGCAGCAGCTGCTGGGCAGACCCTGCACCAGAGGAGTGGAAAGGCAGTCACAGTGCACAGGGCCCTGCCAAACACCTTCACCACTGCTCAGGCTCTGCAAGGGGAAAGAAAATCAGCTCATGCCTCAAAAGCCAAACACAAGAGCTCTCTGAGGTGGCAGTCTCCTTCTGGAGTCCAAAGAAAATGTTTCTACAACCACAGCAGGCATCCAGGCAAAGATCCTTACTTGGAAAAACTGATGGTTCACCATATAATGTACAAACAATCCCACCTGGAAACCTTCAGCACTCACCAGATACAGCAACCCCAGCTTGTGGGGAGGGAAGAGCTCTACTCTGAACTTGCAATGGCCAAAAATGTTTAACTTTTCACTTCAAACATCAGGCTTCAGAATGTTAAAAATAACTCTGAGTGGGGGAACTCCCCCAAAAAGCCCAGTTTCAATGTCCCTTTTTAAGTGAGTTGCTACAACCAACCTCCTTTAGAAAAGGAACAGGGAGAAATCTATCAGTGAGATGAAAGAAAAGCACAGTGATTTAAAAAGAAAAAAAAAAAACCCTCATCTTTCTCAAGGTATCAGTACTGGACCAGCAGCACCATGGCAGCAAAGAGCATTCAGCACACATTGTGAGGGCTGGAGAGTTTGCAGAACCTGCCCTGATTAACCAGGTAGAATACAACAGTATCACCTTCAAATCAGAGCTCTGGTCAGTGAGATAGTGCAAGATTACATTTTTTTTGTACAACAAAGCCGTAAAGCTCCTGTGAAAGGTAACCAATTTCACACTGGTTCCCTCTTGTGTCTGTTTCACTTACAACAATGTCTCTGAATAGATATCAAAACCTTGGAATATTCAGGAGTTGATCAAGCTTAAGATCAATACAATAAAAAGAAGTTCCCTTCTAAGGAGTCTCACTTTCATAAATTAGTTTCAGCCTGAAGGAGAACACAAGCTGCCAAAACACCAGACCTTGCAGAATGTGGCAGAAATGGTTGGGCTTCACATTTAAGGCAGCTAACACAGTCTCTGCTCATTATTTCCAAGCTATAAGGATAAATGAGAGGAGTTATTTTTAAAATAACTATGGAAACTAACAGTAGAGTGATCAGCCAAAGCTATAAACTCCACCTCAGGAAGTCTAAATGAGACAGGGAAGCTGCCAGTGGAGTGGGTTGTGTGCAGCTCAGCTCCCACTTAACTGGTTAAACTTTCCTCTTTTTGGCAAGCACTACTCACACCACGTCCACACCATGGGTGTTTCTCAACAGCATCACAAAACTGCCTGGAGCTGCCCAAGAATGTGGTAAAGACACCAAAGAGCAGGGCCTGTGACCTTCTTGCCTGAGGATTCTGACAGAGGTAAGACAACCAGAACACTGGATGGGGCAAGCAGAAGAGCAGAAGCAAAGACCACACAAGGTGGTTTCTTCTTCTTTGTGGCTGTGTGGAAAACTGCAGATGCCAGTGCGGCATCTGCACATGGAACTGAGTTTGGACAGTGGAGCCTTCCTTACACTCTAATGGAAGGTCCTGGATCCTTCTCAAGCACCAGAGCCAACAAACCTCTCTGCAAGCAAGGCAAGGAGAGCAGAGAGCCTTCCAGAAAAATGGTCATGGAACTCTACTGTGGACTTTATCCTTCTGGAAGAAATGCAGCAAATCCTGAGCTCCACATGGGGGTGAGGAAAACCCCACATCATGTGGGGGAGTCCCTGGTTAAAGCAACCAGTGCTCAGTGGTAGGCAGAAAGAAAACAGCCCAGGCATGGAGCAGCACCCAGACATAAGCACATGTTTTTAGGTCTTGAAGACCTAAAGCTGTTCCTGGTTTGAGACTCACTCCACCTGCAAAAGTCAGGAGCATTTTTGTCCCCCTCTTTCCAGAAAGTGAGCCTCAAGCTTCTGCAAGGCCAGAGCACTGTGTACCCCTCTCCAGACAGAAGGGTCAGCCATGGAGAGGACAACTTCAACAACACAGCCAGCTCTGCTGAGCAAGCCCACGATGAAACGGATGTGAGAGAATTCACACTGAGCTCAGGTCCTCCACAGCTCAAAGGGAACACCACAGGACCCCTCTAAAGGTCAGAAAGCATGACCTGGAGGAACAATGTATGGGGAGATGGAGCAATGAGACTGTGATGAGATTGCATGGCAAGGAAGGAACTCAGGAAACAAACTCCTTATACATTAACAAATAAGGATCTCTGAGGATCACTGAGTCCAGCTCCCTACTCCTTGCAGATCCACCTGAAAATAAACCATATGAATGGAGGCATCAGCCAGATATTCCTTGATCTTTGTTAGGCTTGGTGTTGTGATCACTTCCCTGGGGAACCTGCTCCAGGGATCAGCCTTGGGGTGAAGAACCTTAGAACCACCTTCCTCTAATATCCAACCTGAACTCGTTCCCTTGGGTATAAAAGGTGGATCTTGAACACAGCTCCTTGACACACTGCTCCTGCTAAACCAGAGGGAGGTGCTCCCAGTGGCCATGCCAAGAAGACTCAGGATGCCAGGAGGGCAGAGGGGACTCCTGCCACAACAGCACAACACATCCAACCAACCTTCAGCACTGCCCCAGCCACCACAGAATAAAACACAATCAGCATTCAGCAAGCAAGCACAGCTCTTCACTGGCACCTGCAGTGCCCAGCACAGCTCCCACATGGCACCATCACTGCCCAGCTCTGTGCTCTTACCTTCCTTTTCATTTCATCATCCTCTTCTATCCTGGCCCCACCAGCATCACTGAGCACAGGGCTGAGCAGAGGGGACGAGCCCTGGGTGGCTGCAGTCACCTGAAAGCCTGGGCTCAAACCCAGGGGACTCTTCAGCACAAGGGAGGACAGCTGGCCATGGTCCACAGGGAGGCCTGGGTGGGAAAACAACAAGAAAATGGAGTGGAAAAGGAGAGAAAATTATATTAAAGATAGTGCAAATAAGGTGATTATCCACTGTTACAGCAAACCAGCATTGCAATCTCATATTATTTTTAGAAAGGTAAAAAAGCAAAAAGGCATATAAATCCAAAGACTTCAGTGTGTATCTTAAAGTAAAGGGAGTGTTCCCTGCATCCCAGAGGTTATAGGGCAGTGCAGTAAGGACAGACACAGTGACAAGCACAGTAAAGGGAAGGATAAATTGCTTATTGTCACAGAGTAGCAGCACAGTTCACAACACAGGGTTATACTGCAGCAAATGGAATACAGCTTTTAATTTTTGCTTTTTAATATAAGAGTTGCTGTTCAACACAGGGAAAAGCTAGGATGAATTATTCCATGACTTGCCACTCCAGAACACAAAGTATGTTAGAAATACATTCAGAAATGAGGGCATCTCCAAAACTGATCCCAAGGGAAAGGAAAGCCTATTGCTATGCAATGAGAGAGCATGGAAAAAAAATTCATTCCTGGCTTTTTACAAACAGAATAATCACAAGGAAAACAATTTTGTAGCACTGAGTATTAACTGGATGGACACAATCCACAGCTAAACATTAGAAGCAACAGGTACCACTTTGCTTTAGGTTATTGAACTTTTTTTTTTTAATTATTATTACTATTTTGTGGACCCTTTAGAGATTTCTGACACATCACAGTGAATTTAAGCCTCCTCTTTTCAGCACATAGATCCCCCCCCTTGGGGGTGAAAACGACCATTCAAGATCAGCTTTTTTGGACCAAAGGAAGGTGACAGACACACTACACCCACAGAATTCCTCCTAAATCTCACATACTATTTTTCTGATCTTCTCTGTGATACACAAATGAGTTTTCTCAGATCAGGTAACCAAACAGGTATCAGCACTTAAACCAGGAAAACTGAAACAGCCTCCCAAGCCTCCCCAGCAGGATCTGTTGTGTCACGAGTGCTGAACCACCCACCCAAAGACAAACGGGGAAATCAACAGCCAACCCCAAACTGCCAAATCATCATTCCCCAAACTGCTTAGAAATCATCACAAAATCTTAAAATGTTTAAAAATCAGCCCTCACAGGTATCCAGTATCCCCTCACACGGTCATGGGTGCTGCAGGAGGAGCTGGGAGCTTTCGATTCCCAGCTGCTCAGGCTTGGAGAGCACACCCAGGGCGAGGCAGCCCCAGCCTGTGACTGCACATGGACAAAGGCAGGAAGCTAAACAGAGCTGCACTCGGTCACCTGGAAGAGATTCAGATCATCCAGGCTGCTGAGTTAACTATTTGTACACTAGTCCAGCACCACTTCTGGAGGAGATTTTTGCTCCTCCCTAAGCGTTTTTGTCCATTCACCCCAGGAAAGCAACATTTGTTTCACCTATCCAGGCAGAGGATTCAAGTTTGCTTTTACATGCCAGGAATGCTGAAAAAACCAGCTTCCAAACAAATGAGTTTGCAGGGGTGAGGAGCTTCTTTAAGTTCCTGGAATTTAACATGAAGTAGCAACAAATTCCAGAATCTGTAACTTGAACTGCTTCCAGACAGCCTGAAAGCTCAGACACAGAGGGAACAAATGGGATATAACTTGTTATAAACCACCCTGCTTTTTAACTCAGGTTCTTCTACCTTTTATCTCCTCCAACAGAAGATGGCCAGGAAATTAACTGCAAACATTGAATCTGAAAGCAAGAGCTCCTCCCCAAAGCCAGAGTGCCTGATGGAAATGAGGCACTTTCACAGAATCTTAGAATGGTTTGAGTGGGAAGAGACCTTAAAGCTCACCCAGTCCCAACCCCTGCCATGGGCAGGGACTCCTTCCACTGTCCCAGGTTGCTCCAAGCTCTGTCCAAGCTGGCCTTGGACACTGCCAGGAATGGGGCAGCCACAGCTGCTCTGGGCAACTCTGCCAGGGCCTCTTCACCCTCACAAGGAAGAATTTACTCCATCTAAAACGTCCCTGCTTCAACTTAAGGCCATTCCCTCCTGTCCTGTCACTTCCCCTTTTTTTATTTTCCCTGGAAGAGGCTGTAAGAAGTCACAGAGCAGCTCAAGTCAGCTTTTTGGCTAACAGTTCTTTAATTAAATATTTGATTTGAGCTCAGTGTGATGGCAGATGATATTACAGGTGAGGACTGAAATTTTCATTCTCATAACCCAAGTCTTCTCCACCAGAGCAGCACAAGAGGACTCCAGGCAAGCAGGTAGGAGGCACAGCAATTCCTCATTCTCACAGAGAAGGATGGTAAAGGGAGAAGCCATTTCAACTGCTGCTCAATGTAGAAAACTCCTAATTAGGTGGAAATATTGATGTGAAGATCAAAACATGTGAATGATTCCCTCTGACATCAAACCTTGGTGCTCTGAGGTCTTCCCTTCCCCACAGGCAGCATCCTCCAGTTTCATTAAAAGGGATTACTCTTTCAGAGGAATGTTTCTGTGTTTCAATGTTCTGCATCAAGTGGAAATTTGTTCTCTACAAGTCACACAAACATCCCAGATTGTTGTCTGTAAATGCTGGGAGCCCAGCCCTCCATGCATTGATGTGGGAATTCAGAGTTGTAGCCCACTCAGTCAGACATGGCTGCATCCTGTACACAACAAATTTCTCCCTCTGCATCACACACAAATGCACATAAGGCAACATCAAAAATGCATCAGCTCAGTGTAATATTCCATATACTCAAAGATCTTCAAGTATGCTCATACTTCTTAGTTACACTACACAGCTAGAAACGTGCCCTTAAGCAAACAAACCCACAGTTTCATAGAGCCCAGCATACACCTAATAGAAATTAAAAATAAAAACTAATCAATAAAACATTATAAAAGCTCTGTAGTATTCAAGAGCACAGCTACAGAATCTGGTGAGAATGCTGAGGATATCTTCCACAGCTACTGTGTAATGTTGGTCATGTAGAAGCAGGCTCCATTTGATTTTCACTGAGATAACAAGCAGAATAATAAGATAACAAACTTTTGGCATCACTTCTCAGTTAGTTTTTCAGCAGGTATTTCCATTCTTCAATCTAAATTCAATTCCTACACAGAAAGCCAGATTTGAGTGTACAGGCTGGCCAAAAAATACAGGTTCTCTAAGCTTTATGCATGGATGCTTAAAATAATTCAAAGACAGACCACTAAAATAGTACCCCAATAATACTGAGCATTATGGGATGGACAAAAGCTATGTGAAAGTCAAATGTCAGCAACAGCTCCTTATCAAATGGAGTGACAGAGAACCTTTAGAGATGCAACTTTATTATTATATCATTGCTATTTCTACAGCTCCAAAAGCAGAGATTGTTTTCAGGCTAAAGCCCTGCAGAGGCTGAGCAGAGGCCAATGGGAGCCTGCTCTGAGCCTCCCACCCCAGGCCCTGCTGAACCCATCACATGCACAGACCAAATGATTATATCTAGAGTGAAATACACAGTATTACTTCCAGAGTGAAGTCATTAACAAGCTGATGTACTACAAGTAAAATCCTGGATATTTTCCCTATCTTTCTTATTTCAAGACATCACAACTAGCAGATTTTCCCTCTGCAAATCTTCCCTTGAAAAGATGAGAAATACTTGGGAGATAAGAGAAACTTGAAAATTATCAGAGCCTAAAGAACTGATGCAAGAGACTTCAAATTCAAATATCTCTCTTTTTATCTTTCAACAGGTACAGGTCATGTAAAACATTAAAGCAAATTTACAGCACTTGGCATGTGCCCAGTGCTGTGTACCTGTGAAGTCACATACCACAATCCTAAGGTTGGCCCTGGTTTTATGGTGATGCCCATAAAACAGTTGAAACAATCCCAAATAATCACCCTCCTTTTGCCACATTTCCACCTTGTAAAAGCCCTGTTTGCAGGGAAGAGGAATTACCTAAACACTGGCCACAGACACCTGAAGGAGAACCTGCCAGCTAGAAAACATGCAATCACCTTCACATGCTGTGTTTGCAAAAAAAAAAAGGACAATCTTCCAATAAAAACAGATACAAGAGAGAGTTCAAGGGATATACCCAGTTTAAAAGAAAAGGTCTCCACAATAAATATCATTCCTACAAAGAAATCTGAGCTTCTAGTCCCATTTGTATTCCAAGCAAAAGATCTGCACAGAGCAGGAATTTGAAACCCACACACCAGTGTTTGCCTACTGTGCTCTATTTCCAATGAAGTGCTACAGGGGAAAAACTGTGTGGAGAAAGCTGAGAATAAAACTATAAGATGCCTTGGCTAGGAGAACAAATATTTATTCTATTTCAAAGGTAAGGGTAATGAAAATAAAGCTAAAAAGCCCATGTTGTCATTTATATCAAAGTTTTCCTTGTTTTATTGCATAAACAATTAAAATTATGAATTAGTACAAATCCGTAGGTTCATAATTGGCAATCTGAACAGACACAAAGATACTCAAAAACCCCAACATATAATTCAATAAACATTTCCCATATAAAAGATAAAGTTCAAGAGATCAATTAAAAAATTCCAGCTCTCTTTGTTTGAATGCAATCTTTTCCTGGCAAGAGTAGCACCTATGGAACTGGGGAGTCCCTCTAACCAAGGCACACGTGCCCCTGTTCGTACCAATAAACTGGAATGTTGGGATTCCAGCAACTGAAGAACATTCTGTGATTTTTCAAAATGTACAGGAAACCTTCCCACAGAGCAGGTTCAATTCATCATGTTCCAAATTTGAACTTCCAAACCTCCAGCTCAGCCCAGCTCAGAGTGATCCTATGGGAGCCCATGGGCAGGTAATTAATGAAGAGGATTTGATGATGTGTTTGGAACTGTAAGGTCTCCCCATCCTCAGACAGAGGATGTATATGTACAGCCATACATATACACACAGCCCTTGTGCCAAGTGAGGTGGAAGAGTCCCTAAAAATGACAGGCAATGCCAGCTAAAGGACTGCATTGACCCCTGTGATTACACTCATTCAGTACTGAGTCATTATGGCTTAGAACATTTTTCAAAATGACAATAATGGGAATGACTTACCGACAGGTTTGCACCAAAAAAAGCATAAAATTATAACAACTTTTATTAGTATCTTCACAAAATCTTATCCCTACCAAGACTTGCAGCTAGACAAAATCTACCACCACCACCAAAAAAAAAAAATCAAATAAAAACACCCAATATCAAACCATAACCAAGCCACCAAAAAAAACCAAAATAAAAATCCCTTAAACAAAATCACCTATGACCACAATACAAATAAGCACAGGAAAGAGGAGATCAATACTTGGTATTATCCAGATTATTCAGGAACTCTGAAATTCACTGGAAATTAAAGTGAAAGTTGAGGGTAGATTGATATATCACCCTATTCCACCCTAAGATAACATATGGCAAGTCCTGGGAATATACAGTATGTATTACTTGACTAATGAATACCTGAAAATTACAAAGTCTACACACAATAGGTAACACAGGTTAGTAAACTTAACAAAGCTTAACCAGGTGGTGGATAGGTCAGAGAACATCCCATGACCCATGTTTTGTGCAAATTAAGTTTCATTAACTGCATAGATGATGATCAAAAATGCTCTGATGTAGTGCTTTACATTTAATAAATGTCTTTAAGCATCAGAAGGGTTAGGAGTACACACAGAGAAGTGCAGGTGGGGATTAAACTGCTCACTCACAACACCCATTTTGCTTTCTCTCAGGGTTCAGGTGAGCACTGCAGAGTTAAGCCTGGCAGCCTCACTGGGAAAAGCCACCAATATTGGCATGCATCCTACAGGTGCCTGTGTTTGCTAAAACAGAACAGAGAGATGTGGAGGGATGGAAAAGAGCCCTGGCCCAGTCTCCTTGCTGAGCTGCAAACAACTGCTCTGTGTGGAGCAGGGAACACAGCTGGACACCCCTGTGGTTCTCCTACTGGAAAAACACAGCACCAAAGGCTGTGCACTGGCTAGAAATGCTCCCAGCTGTGTGTGCCCAGCTCCCCACGGGGTGGGAGGCACAGAGCAAATGTGCAAGAACCTGCAGAGGCACAGACTGGGAGGGCTGGGGGCATGACCACAAAGTTTACACCCAGGTTTTATCTGCTCTACCACAGCTCCTCAAATGCTGCCTTTTTGCATGTGATACTTGGCAAAGATCTTCTCCATCTTGTCACTTTTCCTAACTCATTTCCCCTGTTTTCGATGCTGCATGGTTCCCACAGCAGAGGTCACTGCAAGGCTCCAGACTCTCCCACTGCCAACTCACCACTCACCTTCATGAAAGGAAGGCTTGTGTTCCCAGGAAATAAACAGAAATCAGTACCAGGAACTAAGTTTTAGTATCAACACAGTAACAAGAAAACAAAACAAACCCCAGGGAACAATGCTGGAAGTTAAGCAGCATCACCAGGACTCAGGACACAGCACACTCCCCTCATGCTACCCACAAGTGAATGAAAGGGACAGAGCAGGGACAGACCTTCCTTGTCCCACCTTCTCCTGCCACCTCAGGAGCCAGCCAGGGGAGGAGAGGACAGCTCCACTGCACTGAAATAACCCACACAGCTCCCTGGGAAGGTCTGAGCTGCTGCATTCCCTCAGGGCAGCTGGTTTTCTCTCCATCTCTACCAGAAAGTGAATCTGATGTCTCTGAAGGAAAGGATGAAGAGCCTTTGCTCACAGCTTTCTTGCTATAATAAAAACTCTACTTATGAACCAAATTTTCTGCTCTTTTGTGTCTGTCTGGGAAATCTTGAACAAAACAACACAGCTCAGCATGCAAAGATATCCTCAGAAGCCATATGGCTTTGGAAACCAAGTGAAGCACAGAAGGAAGCCTTGATGGCTTGCTCTATGCTATCAGTCAGCCAGAGCACAGATAGCACTAACAGGGGCACAGCAGCAGCTCTGAACTCTCATTCTGTACCTAAAACCTTCATCTAAACACATCTGTGCCAGGGTCAAAGGTCCCCTCACCTCTTCCTCACCACAACTTGCCCTAAGATAGAAGACTGGGATCCTAGTCACCAGCATTCCTTTGGAAGACAAAAGGGGCAATACACTAAGAATCTTTTTTGCTGTCTTAAAAAAAATATTGCTGTCTTAAAAAAAAATAGAAAATCCCTGAGAGTTAGAACTGCCAATAAATGATCTGCACAGTTTAAAATAAAAGAAGAAAAACATTGAAGATGTCTTTTCAAACTAACTGTGGTGCAAGAAAGCAAATTGGCAAGCCTGTACATTGAAAATACAGGCAGCTTTTTACCAAGATCTTTTGAAAACTAAGAGAATTTAGTTGGATTTATTCCCTGTTCTGACACATTTAAAGGAATGCTTGTGACTGAGGCACAGGACATGAAATAGAGGCAGCACAGTTATATGTAATAGCTGAATCCTGATCCTCTTTTTAAAAGATCAAAGATATCAACAGCCTTTCTCTACATCTTGTCCCTGATGCCACCACCTGTTATGGAGTCTGCAGACAGAATTCTGTCTTTTTGCTGATTTTCTTTCTCTTCCTTAGGTTACATAATGTAGTTCATTCTGGGAAGAAATCAAACAAATCACCTAAAAACTTAAAGGCACCAGCTCTCTACACCACTGCCCTGTTTCAAAATGTCCCACCACACCCCCATGACATCATCTCCACAGGCCTGAATAAAGTCCCACAAAGAGCCAGAACACACATTCAACAGGAAAGAAACAAAATGGAAGTAACACAGAGCCAAAAAAAGAGCACCTTGTAGTAGGTTACTGGAGATCTGAGCTAATATTTTGTTCTCAATGTGCTTTGTCTTTCTGGGCTGCTGGCAAAGGGGGCAGGTTTCTCATGGGACAACACACATTCCACTCAAACACAGGATAAAAGCAAGCACTGTGCAGAATAGTAATACCTTGGTAGAACTAACCTGGAAGAAATGGGTGACTAAAGGAGGTTTTACCTCCTCGAGTTCTGCCTCATGTTGAAAAGTATTCCATGGAAGTTTTGGTTATCAGAATTTTGAGAAATAATAGTATTTTTTAAATGCTTGAGTAAACAATGCAGGTCTTTAATGATATATCAAGACCATATTTAAACTGGTAGCAAAAATATGGACCATAAAGCTATGTTTGTAACTAAGCTGCTTATTTTGGAGGCATCAGCTGTAATAGTGCTGCACCCTCTCTGCAAAGGACTGAAAAGTGGGCAGAAGGAACCCCAAAACCAAGTGGCTGAAGGAGATGATGCTTTCCACAACAAGATTTGGGTCAGGTGTTATGGATTTCCCATTCTTGCTTGCATATGGTGTAAAAAATGCCCTCACAAGCTGAAGCTCAGAATTTCACCTCCACAATCCACAACAGTTGGGAAGGACATTTCACAACTTCTGTTGTTTTGCCTCAATAAATGTTGCTAAATTAAATGTGACCAGTTAAGCAACAATTCAATTGTCTTTTCCATTACACTTCCTAACTTACAGCTCATGTCTCATGTAAAAGTCACCTGTCTAAAAGAATTTACAAAAGCCCTGAAGCTCTAACTGTTGTCTATAGTATTTACCTCTCCTAACAACTCAATTTCTCAGAAAAATTACAGTATTTTTCTGAATACAGTCCATATTTTAAAGAAAAAGTTAAAGCTAACACCAGGTTTACCATTAGCTGTCCTCCACAGACACAGGACACTTCTCTGAATTTCTTTGTATTTTTATGCAGAGTGATTAATAATAAGAAAGAAGGGAAATGTGATGGGGATTAAGTGCTTTTAAAGTCTCTGTATATCTCCAAACTGCTGCAAAACGTTTGCTGCTGGACTGCTGAAGACACCTGCAGGTCAGCAAATAAGCTTGTCTTCACAAGAAGTTTGGAAACTGCTATTTCCATTTGGTTGGATACACATCCCCTCTTCCAAAGGTAGGTAGAGTCTATTTGTTCTTCAAAGCATACCACAGATATGTTGCATAGGTTGGTATTTTAAAACTGCCCTTCAGAGATGATTTGAAGATTCTTCAGGGGTTTTTTTTGATGATGGAAACAAAAACAAACCCAAAATGAGGATCTTACTACAGTGCAGGAAAACAGGCAATTTTTGGATGCAGCTGCTGGTTAACAAGCATGTGCAGAAGTGACTGTTTTATTTGGATTTTGGAGGAACAGTATACTATATGAGACTCGTACAGATATGTTTACAGCCGAAGAAATCCTTCAGTGTAGTGTAAGTTGTGATGTCTGCATGAGCCAGTTGATACTTAAAATTCTCTGAAATCAGTGTTTTTTCCTAAATGTAGTATTTTCCAACATTGTAGCCTATTATAACCCATTCTTGATGTAGTGGGATGCACAGAAACACAGCACCAAAACTTGGATGCTTTGAGGGACACCGAAGAGGCACACAAATTTAAAAAAAAAATTAAAAATCAACTATGTTAAGTGATTTAAAATCCAGCCATTGGATTGAGTGATATCACACCCTATTGACTTCCAAGCCTGAAAAGCATTGAGGAATCCATCCCAAAAAATCAAGACCATTCAATTGATCTGTGACTTCTCTGTCCAGTCTTCTTGAGTGAGATTTTTTAAATTATTCTGAAAGTCAAAGGCATAGTTGTCCCCCGTGCTTTGAGCAAAGGGGTTGCTAAAGAACAGGTTTACATCCAAAGGTGCAGCTGTTTCTGAGTCCCAGGAGTCGGTGTCTGTGCTGCTGGAGTCCTCTGTGGTGGTGGGAGGGCAGCTGAGCTGCTCCAGCTGGTCGATGATGTCCGTGAACTGGAAGGCGGAGCTGGACTCGGAGCGCACGGAGCAGGCGGGGAAGTTGAGCATGGAGCTGGCAGAGGAGTGGTTGGCAGAGCCGTGGGTGTGCAGGGAGCAGCTCCCGTTCAGGGCCAGGTTGTTGAGGGAGCTGCTCTCGGAGCGGTTGTTGATGAGGGAGCTGGTTTCAGAGGGGCTCAGCAGGCTTTGCATTCTGCTGGCTTGGGCCTTCACCTCAAACAGCTCCGAGGTGTCCGATGGCCTCTCGTTGCCGTTGAAATCGCTGCTTTCTTCAAATTCAAACTCCTCTTCCATATTCATATCCACGGCCTCCGTTGAGTACCTGTCAGGGCTCGACTGAGCAGAGACTGAGCCTTGCTGGAGGGCATCTGCAGCTAAACCAGCTGGCTCTGACAGACACTTGGAAAACTCAGAACCCTTTAATTCTAACCCACTGTACACATAGGAAAATGCCTCAGAGCCCCCAGCAAAAAAGGACATTTCTGCTGGGTCATCATCGATAAACTCCTCTGACAACTGCAACTGGGAATTTGCCAGTGTGAAAAGAGGGGCCCCACGGCTGCCATGCTGCTGCTCTTTTTCAGCAATGAATACACCTGTGGTAAAGTCATCCTCATCATTGTCATTTTTACAACCAGCAACCCTGCTCTCCTTACTACTTCTCACTACATCTACGTCTACACCGCAACCACTCTCAAGGACAGGACAAGACGGGTCACAGTTTCCTGCAACACTACCAAACCCAACACCTTGGAGCACGGGAGATCCAGGCTGCTGCATCAGCTTCCTCCCCACTTCTTCCACTGGTGCTGCAGTGGTTTTGTCTGGAATCCTTGTGTACGATGCTCGGGGCTCCAAGGAGGAAGGGCTGGGCTCAGCAAACATGGGCAGGATGGAAGCGGGACTGGCCAGGGAGTGAACCGAGTGGAAGGGGGCAGCTGTTGAGGCAGGAGACCCTGGAGTTCTCAAGCCCTCAGTGAATGGGGCACTCTAAAAGGGGACAGAAAAGCAGAAACACAACAGATAAAAAGGTTTTGTAATACATAAAACAAATGTAACATCCAGTTACATCCATATGAAGAAGGAATATATGGTTCACAGGAGCTCACTTTACAGCAGACACTGAACCTGATCCAGCAGCCCATGAAAAAGGCAAGTTTTTTTTCCTTAATTCTGATAACTGGATGGAAAGTTAAAAACAGATTGTATAGCTGAACAAGCATCCACAAATAACAACAAAATGACAGTGAAAGAGCATTCAGTGAAATGATTGTTTCTTGCTGTGTCCTGCAGAAGGCATCTTACAACAGCTTTAAGACTGCCAGAGAGCAGTCACAGAGTACCTAGAGATAACTAATCCTCTGAAATAACATCATACTAGAAAGTTCAACACTTCCTTTTCAGTTCAGTGGAACTTTGAGTAAAATATGACTCACTTCACACTCCACTGGCTACAACTATCAAATCAGTAACACCAATAAAAAGAACTGTACAGCAGACAAAGAGCAAACAGTGGCAGCAATTCTGGTGACTTGACTCCTTCACTATCACCACAGAAAGCTGTCTGTCCATGCCCCTGCCCACACCACAGCTCAGAGAGTGCTGCACAACTGACCTGCTTTGGCACGTCTGCGTTCGAGGTGCGAGTGGACGCTCTGACCTTGCTGTGCCTCCTGTGGAACAGAGCAGCCTGTCAGCATCCCAGACATGCTTCAGCCTCATTCCTTCCCCCATCACTCATGGCCATGCCAATAGCCAACAGAAACATCTCAAGCTCTATTCTATCTGTGTTTTGTTAATACCTAGTTCAGGTTTTAAGAAGTCAAAAGAGTTGTAAGTTAAATGATGCAAGATAAGAAATGTGCAAAAGTAGAATAAAGGAAGATCCAGATCATTCACAGAATGAGAGAATCATTAAGATTGAAAAAGGCCTCTAAGATCATCAAGTCCCATGGGTTAGTGCTGTTCCCCCAGCACTAACCCATGTCCCCAAGTGCTTTGTCTCCACCTTTTCTGAACACCTCCAGGGATAGTGACTCCAACACTTCCCTGGGCAGCCTGTGCCAGTGCCTGATCAATTTTTCCCAGTATCTGACCTAAACTTCTCATGGCACCACTTGAAGCCATTTCCTCTTGTCTGTCACTTGTTACCTGGGAGAAGAGACTGACCCCACCTGGCTGGTGGGGATGTCTTGGTACCACTGAAGGAGACTTCAAGAACAACTTGGGACTGAATACTAACTGAATACTAAACAGCACATTTTAGTTTAACTCCATCCTTTTTCATTATTATAAACATCTACAGAAGAATGGCTCAGAACCAGAATGAGCTAATAATTGTACAAACTTTTGTAAACTCAGTCAACCATATAAAATTTTGTACCTTAGACTCCAAAAAGTGATATCCTGCATTACACTTGAGATTCACTCTATGTCAATAATTAAGTAGAAAATCAAATTTTCAAACAGAAAAGGAGTTCAACTGGAGTCTGAGACATTAACAATACCTATTAATAGTAGATGAATGCAAACTTTTTAAAATTCCTATTAAGCCCCTATAATCTTTTGTATTAGGAGTAACATTTCCCAGACACAGTTTGGATTTGGAGTAGGAGGAGTTTCCCATGTGTAGACTGGATAGCATTAGAGTCAAGTAAGGAAAAAACTGTTTTATAATGAAAGCACATATTCCTAATTTATATATTTATATGTTTAGAAACAATTGAGTATTTTAGGTCACAGTTTCAAACTTGCAGATCCCAAGTTCTGTTATGTGCTCTGCCACTGGCTGATTGCACAGCTACAGTGGCACAGACAGGTCCTCAGTAACATTATGGAATCTTCAGCATGTGCTGAAATTTCACACAGCTAAGCCACATTATCCATAGACATCAAAATGTGGAACCAAAACTTTTCAAAGCCTCTTATATCACCACAAAATAATAAATTTTTTACATTTTAGTTCAGCTACCTTAATGAATGAGAATGAGCCTGCCTCCAAGCAGCATTAAAACACTGAAATTTAGGCAAGAAGGGCACTGTGAAAGTCTCAGCTATGTTTTGCCTTACAAAGCCATTTCATCTTACCTTTCATATGGGGTTCTCTTCATCCCACTGTCCTTAATATAATCCACTAGTTGCTTCTGTGTTCGCCCACTGTGAACCCACAGAAGCACAAAGGTTACCAAACACAGGGGATGAGCATTACAGAGGAATGTCTTTAGAAAACTTCTTCCTTTTGCTCTCATTTTCTAAGACACAATGAGTGTGCTGTGCTTCTCCCTACCTGTATCTGAAAGATGAGCCTCTGGTGAAGAACACTGCTTTAGCCTTTGGCTTTGGCTGGTCGAAGAGCCTAAAGAATGTGTGATACTCAACACAGATTTTCCAGAAGTTTTTACACTCATCCCTACTTCCCAAAAGAAACTCCAATGTATCTTGATATGGGCCCTGGGAAAAAAACATACAAGTTCAGTAGCACCTAAAATGACAGTAAGGAGAAAAGGATGGCACAAATGTGTGTCACCAAAAAAGATGAACTCCAGCAAGATGCAGGATTTTGCTAAGTCACTTCTCATCTGCCTTAAAACAATGGGAGTGATTCTGAATGCAGTTAAAATTATTTAATAGCTGTCCAAAATGTTTGCTTACCTTGAAACTGTAAAAGTATTTTAAAAGCACTTGACTTTAGAAATATGCTCAATATAGCCCACCTTCAGAAAATTCAGAGGAATTTAAATATTTAAGTGAAATAGAAGCTATTTTAAAATACTATTCCTTTTTTAGGAGTTCTGATGCTTGTCCCCTGGAAATTCAGACAAAACCAGAAAATACTGCATATGTCAGAGTACAGTTATCACATGAAATTTCTGAGGGTCGCTTTGTGAGACACATTGCTACATCAGCAGACAGTGGGTCCTGTTTCAGGTATTCTTGATACATGAAATTATATTATGTCCAAAGTTGGTCTTTTTCCTCTATTTTAATATAAATTAAACACTGAATGCAATCTAGTCATCCAGCATGGAAGGAACAATTTTGATGACATCTGCAATGAAAATCAATCTACTGTAAATCATCTACGTATGCAAAATGACACTTGTGCTATAGAGATGTATAGAAAAGATGAAGCAAGAGTAATCACACCATCCTTAAATTTAAGCTATAACAATACAGTTTCAGTCCCCTATTTCTACCTGAGGTGTATCAGATAATTTTTATTTGAATCAAGAAGGTGGATGCAACTTTTCCAAAGGAGAAGTACTGAGAAAGGCTGCACCAAATACTTGGGTCTGGTAATTTTTTTCTGTCTTACATTTATACATGTGTAAGCTTGTGTCAAGGATAAGCTGAGATTGAAACACAAAACCTAAAGATCCTAAATTGTGGGGTGAGAAAGGAAAGATTGACACTTGAATGATGCAGCCAAACCTGCCCACTGAGGCTGCTTTATAAAATCACAAGCTCCAGAAATGTTCATAATAAAATGAAGCACAGGTATTTTTTTCAACACTGCCCAGTTTATATTACAGTAAAAGTTACACAGACCTCTGGGTGGAGCTTAATAAGGAATCTTTTCCTCTTGAAGCTCAGCTTACGGACCTTGGACCAGTTGAAGGTATTGATTTTTGTGTTGCCCTGAATCAAAATGAGAATGATCAAATGTTAGCAAAAGTTTCAGAAAAGCAGAGTAGCAAACAAAATTCTGTTGTGGGTATATAGATGTGTATGTGGACACATCCAGCTGGATTTTTAGTTCTGGTGACAATATCTCCTTAAACAAGAGAGGTCACTGAGCAGTCTGAGAGGGACTGCAGGACGGATGCACCTCCAAAAGAAGCTGCCCCACAGTAAGCAAAGAACAGGTACCCAAACAGAAATATTTCAGTAAGTCAGCTGCCTCTGTGTTTTGGGGAGAGGAAAACCCTAGCATTGCATTCATAAACAGGACTCTGAGCACTGAGTTGCTTCTTTAATACAACAAACATAGTGACATTATTTGGTCCAATTACTGCAATCAATCAGCATTCCTATACAATAAGAGCAACAAGACCCAGCAAAAATCCCCTGGAATATTGAAATAAGAGAAACCAAACCAAAATTCCAGGATGACAGACCTGTCCCAGGGCTGTTCCAAAAATGAATTAATTGATGATTTTCTCTTATCACACACCTAACTTCAAACAAAGCCCCTCTACCTCACTGTCACTTGGCTTTGATGTTCTGCTCTCTGCACAAGAACAAGCTGCACCAAACAGAATTTTGGGGGCTTAAATGACACTCCTTGACCACAGAACCCATTAAATTTCCAAGGCAGCAGAGACACCTGATGTTCAAATGAGAGACTTACTCCAAGACATGCTAAAGGACAGAGTCTGCCATCCCTGCCATACCTGGAACACCAGCACACCCATGTGTGAGACTGCCAGGTTGATTTTGGTGCCCTCACGGTCAGAGGCAAGGTGGAATCTGATGCCATACATCTCCAGTTTCCTGGCAATTTCAAGCACTTGAAAGTCAGATTCAGCAGGAGTTTGACCCCTATAATGAGGAAGAAAAAGAAAATTTTAAGAACAATCTGATCTACAACACAGCCAACACATTTAAGTCTGAACTCTGGCACTAAATGAGACTTTTCTATCTCATCTAGTTGGGTGGTTTCACTCCATGTCATGTGTCACATTGAAAGGTCTGTAATGACACAGCTGATGGCCAATGTCAAGTGCATCCCAAGACAGAAGCTGAGAGAGATATTAATCAGCTCAGAGCTTTTGCCAGTTGAGAAACCATAAAGTTGAACAAATCCAAATTCAATCCACAGTGCTCCTCCTCTTGCTTGCTTGTGTACACATTAGCATTAACTAAGATAAGAAGTGAGAGTTGGCAGAGTTGCACAGCCAGCAAAACAGAAACAATGCAAATATTGCAACAGAATGACCCTTTTCAGGTCAGGTTTTGGGACCACAAAATTATTACTCTATTACTACCAGGTGCCTTTGGCTGGATAATTCCCTCCCTGCCAAGGAATCCAGAGAAGAATCTTTAAAATAAAACTTCATCTGTTGTCAAAATTACTCTAAAAACAAGAGGAAGCTGTACATAGACAGGAGCAAGTGCTCTGTAAGGGTGCACAAGGTCCAACACAGAGACTGTTCATAACCTGGCACAGTTTCAGCCCTCACTGACTGCTCCCCAGGTTAGCTGACATCAAACCACTAAGATTTTGCTCTCCTACATGAAAACAGTCCTTTCTTTCCTCAATCCCCCTTGTTTTTTTCCATGAGAGGGAGTGCATTAGATTGTAGTGCATTTTCAGTGGGTACTTGTACTGGCAAGAGCATTTCCCTGTAAGTTCATGAGTCCTGACAAAGAGTTAAAGATCCTCTGAGAATGAGCAAATGGTCCTGTGGAAATGAAGGATTTCTTGGAGTCATAGAATCATAAAATTATTAGGGCTGAAAAAGACATTGAAGATGATCAAGTCCAGTTATTGCTACTGATCATGCCCCAGTTACAAAACAAAGACTTTTTTGCCCCCAAAGCAAAAAAAGCCTTTATCACAAACATGAGCATGTCACCCAAGTAGGTCTCTGAACTACAAACACCCTGCAAGAAAATGCTCCAACCCATTTTTAGGCACAACATGGTTCAGGAGAAGCAGGAGAAGCTTCTCCTGTGCTAACCCCAAGGAAACCCCACTGCAGAGCTGCTGATCTGGGGTCCCCAGCCTAAGTGGCCACTCCATAAGATGAAGCAAGATCAGAGGAGGTCACAGAAATGCTGCAAGGGCTGGAGCCCCTCTGCTCTTGAGACAGGCTGGGAGAGCTGGGGGTGCTCCCCTGGAGAAGAGAAGGCTCTGGGGAGACCTCACTGTGGCCCTTCAGTTCTTAACAAGGGCTTTTAAAAAACAGAGGGACTTCTTCTATGGACAAAAGGTAATAGGAGATGGGGGAATGGTTTAAACTAGAAGAGATGAGATTAAAATTACATTAGGAGAAATTATTCCCTGTGAGGGTGGTGGGGCCCTGGCACAGGGTGCCCACAGCAGCTGTGGCTGCCCCATCTCTGGCAGTGTCCAAGGCCAGGCTGGACAGGGCTTGGAGCAGCCTGGGACAGTGGAAGCTGTCCCTGCTCGTGGCAGCAGATCAAAATTTAAGTTGCCTTCCATCCCAAACCACTCTGGAATTGTGTGAAACACCAGCAGCACAGGACCTGCTGAGGGATTCAGAGCAGTGAGGCTGCAACAGTCACAGCTGGATAAACTGACCTCCTACATCACTACTGACAATGATTAGAAATAATAAATACCAAATTACTTCCATGTGCAAGTTCACTAGGATAAATGTAATGATACACAGAAGACACAGGTGCTCAAAAATTATTATTCTATTTACAAACAACCAGTGCTGAAACCAGATTCGATTTCTGCACACACACAGACTAAGCAAATTTTACAAGCCTTTTTTTTCCAAGAAGAAAGTGGCCATTCCTTTCATAAATCTGCAGTTCATTTTATTAAAACAGATGACAAACAATTTTTAGCATTACCTATTTTTGTGTACTATGCTGTGCCAACCACAACATCACTACTAAATAAATTCTCCTGGTCCCTTGACTGGCTTTTCTAGTCATACTCCTAAAAATACCTCCTTCAACCTACCTAGAGTCATGTGTTAGATCAAACAATTGTTTAGCTCCATATAGATTTTTTTAAAAATACAAATAGAAAATACTGAAGTGAATTATTACATTTGAATTAACAAAACTAGGGATGATGACAATGCACATTAACCCCAAGTAGGGACTGTATCTACAATTCAGAATTCAATTATGAAATTTATTTCATATGCTACAGTTTTAAAAATAGAAGTTGTTAGAAAAAGCAATAATTTTTTTTATAGTTAGTAAAGTTCTCTTTAGTGTAAAACACACACACAAAATGCCCTGAGAAAGTGAACCTGAATTCACACAGCAGCATTTCAGCAGTTTTCTGCTGCCTTGCTCATTCTGGAGGGAAAACAAAGAATCCAAAACACTACAGCAGGAAATCACAAATTTATTTTGCCAGCTGCAGAAGGCAGAGATTCAATGACATTCCTTACTTTACAAGCTCACTCCATAATCCAGCCTTATCCAAATGTCAGTATTATGTGACCATGTAACAGAAAGGGAAGAACCTAAGAGGCACAAAAACCTGATTTCAAATGGAAACAGAAATGCCAAACAACAGAGAGAGTAATTCCCACCACTGTTACTACTACATGGAGTAGTTATGTCTAAGAGCTCAGACTGGTACAGCAGATTTTTCTTCCCCTCACTGAGCTGAGTAACACTGGAGTAAGTGCTTTTAACATTGCCTTTAACTGTTGTTTCATTTCCACCACAGATTCCTCAACTACATCAAAAAACCTGGAGCACCATGGTTCCTATGTATTAAATACACACAAGACAAAAGAGGTAGATCATAAATCCTGCTTTTGGCCAGGGCTCCCTGAGCTCCACTCTGAGCTCTGTGTGTAACTCCCACCCACGCTAATTCCTGCTATAATTCTTCTGAACACAGCGACATTAAGAATGAAAGCAGGGCTTTGTCTTTTAAAAAGGGTGCTGAGGTTGGGAAGGAGGGTTGGAGGGGAAGGAAGGCAAAAAACCAAAAAAATGGCAACTAGAAAATTGGAGCTCTACAGTACTAAAAATTCCTCATGAACAGTCTGGTGTAACTGGGGAAAAATCACTGATTATTATTTCATATACCATTAGATAAGATCTCAAGCACAGCACATCTCAGAAAACAAAACCAAAATAAGATAGCAGGCAATTTTAAGAGTGTTCATTTGCACACAGGCTGCCTTGTAGCCAAGAGAGAAGGCTGAGCCTGGTGTGGAGGAGCTGGGAGCAGAGCCAGGCAGCTCTGATTGAACCACAGACAGGTACCAAGAGAGGCAGCTCCAGACACTGCCCTCAGATGCTGCCTGCAGGCTTAGCTGCACAGCCCAGCCCCAAAACAATCTGCTCTAATTTTGTTCAGCCATTAAGCAGATAAATCTACTTAATCTTCCCCAGGTCAATGGATGACACACTAATATCAGTATTTCCAGCAAAAACTGCTGTCAGTGCAATAGGTGTTGCTGTAGAGGTTCCTTACAAGCATCCAGCTAGACAAATGTTGGTTGTGATACAATATTCCCATGGCAAAGGACTCAAAATAAATGCTCTCAAGTGTTAAGTGATTTACAGAGCATTTAAACCCAGTGATTAACATAGAGCTTTAAAGATGAAGTGTCAAGTTAGAGTTTTTCTACTTTACAGGCAATTTAAAGAATTTAAATTCATGGACAACTAAGCTAACAAGTTGTGAAAGGACGTGAGGGATATCAGTAAATGTAAATATAAATCTATTAAATCTTTTTCTTCTTTCCTGATTTAACTATGCACAGACAAAGAAACCACAGACATGTGAACACAGGCCAAATGTGTCATGTTGAATCCTGCACTCACCTTGCAGCAAGTATTCTACTACTCACAGGAAGGCAGAAAACATTGTATTTTGGGTGTCTGGGTGTCAGGAATTAACTGCACCAGCACCAAAACACCATCTACAAAATATACATCTTTTATTTTTCATAAACTATAGAAGATGGTTCTTATTTATTTCCATTTTATAGAAATAAAATAGGTTAATTCAGGCTCTTGCTGAAGCAATAATTAATGTGCTACACCAAAAATATAACTCATCTTGTTTACCATTGCTACATTTGCAAAGTATAGAAACCATATTCCTATTCTTTATGAAAGTAAAAGTATTTCCAAATGTAAAAGAAAAAATATGTTTAGTAGAAAATAAGCATTCAATTGCCATCTTTCCAATTACAACATTCTCTATTTACAGAATGGATTGGATACACAGGTTCTGTTTTACTCAGGGTGATGATGTTCTCCCACTTCTAATAGCTACAGTGAAGCAATTAAAAAAAAGAAGGAAAAGAGGCAAAAAGAAACAATCTGGAGGAGGTGAGCCATCCTGCCAGAAATGGGTTTCTCCTCCTGAACACCTGGTTTGTACAAGAAATCTTCCAGGAGCAATGAGCAGTGGAGGAATCACAGAATCCCAGGATGGTTTTATTACATGAAAGCTTTTTTGGGGACCTTATTAAAGGCACACTGCAATAATCACTTGAGAAAAACTACTGCCCAACAACTCCATCCTGCCCATGTAACTATTGCTACCAACCTTTCTTGCTCAGGGTAAATGGTGTTTAATTTACACACTCTTAATGTCATCCTGCCATGCAGCTGCTCACCCTCCCCTAGGCAAGGCCAGCTGCTGCCCAGGGGTTCCCTTAGTGGTTCACATTAATCCTCACTTACACATGCTTCCTGTGGAAGTCCAGGATCTTTCCTTCAAGTTTTTCCTGATTTGGCAAATATTGGTTTGTTTTAAGGTGTTCTCGATCTTCTGATTCATCAAAATCTCCTATTTCAGCTACAACAGAAAACAAAACTATGTTAGAGGAAGAAGAAACAATGGAAGAGGAACAATGACAGAAAATACTTGGTAAGGAATTAGAGAGATGTTTAAGTGCTTCAAATTTGTGCATGATGCTTTGCATCCAGCTTCATTTTACCAAAATCACATTTATCCCAGGCTGACTTCCTGGGGATTACAGCAGTATTTGAACATTGTCTGGAAAATTTAGACTTCTTAAGGGTGCAAGATGTGAAACTTTTAGAAGTTCAGACCTTTTTAGAAGGTCTGAACATTTCCTCCTTACAGATACCTTATAGCAAATACCATATTTCAATTTATTTTTTGCTGTATATATATGCAAAATAGTAATTTTACTATATATATGTAATATAGTAAAAAAGTAGTATTTTTTACTATATATATGTAGTGTCCAGTAATAGACAAGGCTAGTTGGGAAGATGGCAAGTTACATCTGGAATTTTGGTCTCCCCTTCACATATCCATGTCTTTCAGATGCAATGCTGTGAATTTAGGAAGATTTACAGAAGAAAAAAGCATTATTGTAAAGTGCAGAACAGCTTCCACCTGATACAACACAAAATAATCACAAGTCTTTGGCTCAGAATACAAAAGCACAAGGCAGGCAGAACATGTGGCAAATGTACATAAAATTACAATTGAATAAATAAATTTTAAGAATTTCTTTTTTCTGATAAAAAATATGAAGTTGCAACATTTAATTCAAAACCAAAATGTTTTAAAAGATAAAAGTACATATGTTGTCCTAAAAACTTCCCAAAAACTAAGCTGTAAAGCTCATTTCTGTGGAAGGATGCCAAAAATATAAGGAAATTCAAAAATTAGATAAATACCAGGGCAACCAAACAGATGCAGAGTCAGTCTGTGGTGCTGTGTGTGCAGTGATTATGGGATGGATGCAGCAAAGGAAGAGCTGCTCTGTGTCTGAGGGCATCTGCCATCAGCTGTGGCAGAGAAAGGAGCACAGCAAATCCTGTTTAAAATCTAGCCAGCACAAGAGGGAATGAGTAAAAAATACTGACTATTTTTGAAAATCATTTCTGTTGAAGATAAAGCTGTTCTTTCTCACATTTTCCAGAAAAGCAGAATCAGGCTAAGCAAGGCCTGATGCTGAGATTCTCTCATCAGCTCCACAGTGCTGGAAAACCACGAGCAGGTTTTAGTGGTGTCACTCACTGATGGCACACACACAAGACAGATTTGCTCCTCCCATAAAATCACCAGAAGAAATACTATTATAACTGTATTTTTATATTGCATTGCAGAGTTAGACAACCAATAACTACTCAGCAGTGCACATGTGAAGATGAATCATTGAATCATTGATCAGCTTTTGCTTCCAGCCAGCCAAGAGCCACCAAGGCTGGGCTGCAGACCTGTGAACACTTCAGCTGCAGCAATTTGATGTCTGAACTAACTCAGGGTTTCCAACCTCCTCCTCTCAAAGGCCACATTTTAGGTTTTTAAGCATGTACAGACTGAGCCAGCAGCAGCATGGAGTGCTTCCAAATAAATTGCTTCCCATTTCCATGTTCAGTCCCAGCAAGGAGGAAAGCTGCTGACAGCCCCACTACAGAACCTGTTCCAGCATGGTTCTCAGCTGCATTTCAGCCCAGTTCCTGTACAGCCATCTCCTCCCAGGACAGGGAAAGTGAGAACTGAAGCCAAGGGAGAACTTAGACAGGTGGGAACAGCTGTCTGGAAGATGTGGAGTGCTGGCAGCAGAGCTTGCAGAGCCAGGGAAACAGCAAGGCTGGTTTTGTAATACCCCTCTGAAGGCAGATTTACCTCATACATAAGCACCAGCTGTTCCTCCCCCTGATGACTGTCACCCTGATTTTTTAAGATTTTCTGAGCCTTCTGATGTTTACATTCTTGTAGTGAACTTTCTCACACACTTTCTGTAAACAACTCATTGTTTTGCATTCTTTTATGGAAGAAGAGAAATTTGATAGAATGTTGGTTTGTCCAGTGTCATTGGAGAGGTGGCACTGTCACCCTCCAATCCACTGTCACTTTTGGAAAACTATAAATGTTAAAGTCAGAAAATAAACTTCCTTTTTTCCTTCACCTTGAGAGCTGCAGTGTGTGCTTGTGTTCTTTCGTGTCCTATAGAGACAGATGACCCTCCCAGGGTTGAAAACCAACATTTTTACAGTGTGTGGAGAAGGAAATACTGTGAGACAGAGACTTCTTCTAGTCACCAAAAGCTTCTGGATGTGATTTAATGTGGGTTAGCAGTGGCACCATCAGCAGTGCAGCCCAGCTGGGATACTCACACTGCAGCAGGTGGGACACCAGCAGAGCAGCTGTGTTGTCACTGCAGGTCAGCCTCTCCTCTGCCAGGTCCCTCTTGATTTGCAAGGCAAACAGGTACCTGCAGGAGAGGCACAAGGGCTGGAGTTACATCCTGACACCAGAAAACACAGCAGAACCACTGAGCAGGAGCTTATAAAAGCAGCATCTCCTGATCCTTCCACTCTCCAAAGAGTAACAACAGCCTGGCTACCAAGGAGTGTCAAATCAAACCAAAATATCCTGTGACTGTTCCAGGGCAATTTATCAGCACAGAAACACTCACAGCAACAAGGAAGCAGGAGGAAAACCATGTTTTAAGCAGGTTTCATCTGTGCAGTAACAGCAGCTGTCATTTTTAGCTGGAAAGAAACTTAAAGAACACTTCAAGTGATCTTATCTATTAGAAAAAAATGTTGAAGAATATCACTGATTCCAGTATTTTGTTAGGAAAACTGATAAGTTTTTCTGTTAATAATCTACTCAGCAGTTGTATTTTCCAGAACTATATTAGCAGCCTACAAAGACAGTAAGAAGTTCAATTTACTTTTCTGATACTGCTATATTAGTTCAACTAAAATATTACCCATTCAGTTGTTAAAGAGCAATAATTTCTGTTTAACAGTTTTGTATGCTGTTCCTTTTACTTGGAAGGAGATACAGTAAGGACTCCAGGAAACAGGCAACAACTCACTGCTATAAACCTTCAAACTGACAGACTGATTCTTTTTCTTTACTGAATTATACCCTAAGAGATGGTAATAAGATTTTTTTAAAAGAAGAATTTATTTTAAAATTTTATTCCTGATGTAAAATATATTAAAAGTTACACATTTTGAATAATAGGGTTTTTTTAAATTTTTAAGTAATGTATTAAAGGATTCTCAAAAAGTATGCTCTGCTTTCTGTATGTCTGATGAGCTCCCAGTTTCTTCAGTACACTCATAATAAAGAATACAGTATCATTAACAGCATCATTAATTACCCAGATTCTCTAAGTGCAGACCATAAATACTCAATAAATAGGCAAAATACAGTTCCTGCTCTAAAAAGCTGTATTCCTAATGAATTCCCTATCTGAAGCAGCAATTAATAGAAGAAAACCTGGTGCAAAGGAAATATTTAAATAGTTTTTCTCCTTACAAGAGACAATCACAACAGTTGTCATGCTGGCTTGTTCTTAAATATATCTGAAGGATAATAAGGAACCTCTGAGAGGAATTCCAATTAAAAGTAGTGAAACTGTGAAAAGCACAAAATGAGCTCTTTAAACAGCAACATCTGGGTAATGTCCTTGTGAGAGGCAGACTTCAAACCAGGTCCCCAGGTGCCAGCAGGTGGACAGGGCTGCTTAACTGACCACAGATCCATCAGCAATCCCCAAAAATAACCCATGGTGAGGACAGTTTAAATTTTGAACAGTAAAGTGTGTTTGGAAGTTTAAATCACTTATTAAAACATGTACTGGTTATTTTATATTTATTTTTCTAGACACTGTTTATAAACATTAGTATTTTCTGCATACTCTGACTCCCTTGGCACCAGTATGCTGGAAAGCCCTAACCTGTGCTGTTTTTTGTTTGGAAAGGATTTTTTCTGATAACATTCAACTGCCAACACATGTCTGCTGAAACTGTAAGTGCTCTTTTACTCATCTTCCACCTCAGTTTTGTTTGGAAGCAGCTGTGCTGCCTTCCTACTCTATTAATTCAGTATACAAAGCATGTCCAATAATTCTAAAAATACTTTACCTAGTATATTCCTCTTGCAGCTGACCAGGGTCAGGAGGGAAAAACTTTACAGCCAGACGAAGCATTGTAGTCTTTGGTCCTGGAAGAAAAGTTGGTCATTTCACAAAAACACCCCCTGCTCTTCAGAAAAACTTGCATATTTTGTTTGCCAACAGGCAGAGAAACAACAGAGAGAAATTCTGGCCAGTTTCAAACCCCAGCTAATCACAGCAGGCTCTGGTGTTGATTGTTCATGTCCAGTGAGATAAAGCAGCTGTTTCCAGAGGAACTTGGATACCACTGACAAGGTGAATGCACAAAAGCAGTTTCCTGCACTGTGAAATCTGTAATACCCCAAAGCAGCTGCTTGGCTGCATCAAAGACCCTCAGAGGTGACCCAGGGAGAAGGTTCCAGAAGGGAGACACATCCCCCCACAGGCTCCCAACACCCAGCTCACCATCAGGACTGATGCAGATAAAAGGGTGTTTGCAGCCTGCTCCCAGCATGCCTGGTAATACACATTTCCTCCCATTTCCAGAAAACTAATTTCATTTTCAAAATTATAGAGAACCCTTGGTCACTATTGGGAACAGTCCATAATGCTGTAAATTTTCAGTCCCAGCACCACAACTCAGCCTGTGGAGCCACAATCCCAGTTTCACCTGGATTTCTGAAGGAATTACTACAGAGTACAACAATTTCTCACCATGCCAGGACTGGGCACCACTGTTTTCCTATTGTTTTATCCTGCCTGAAAGCAAATGAGGCCAAGTATTCCAGAGGCAGGCAAAGCACTGGGCAGGCTGTGCTTCCAGGAGCCTGCTGAGCATCCACCTGATGTGCACAGGCACCCCTGGGCCAGGGCCAGGCAGTGTCCCCAGGGACTCCCCGTGCTGCTGCTGTTTCAAAGTAAACTCAGCCAAATTAAAAATAAATCTAACTTGTTGGAGCACAAGCAGCCTGCTTTTGAATTTATTTTAAGCACCAGGATCTCTCAAAGCTTAACAAAGTCCAGTTTAACCCCATCAGCCTCAAAATACACTGATTTTTTTCTGTCTGGAATATCTGATTCCCACAGGCCAAACATTCCTTCACCCATCCTCTTGTTTGCTAATGAGAGAATATCAAACTTTGCTTTTTGACAAGTAGCTGGGAGAGCTCACAGACTATCACAGCTGTGACAAGAGCAGCTCCCAGCCTCCAATTCCAGAATTACCAAAGCTTTGGTCAACAACAACAACAAAAATCCACAAAAAACTCCTAAAATCCACATCCTAATTACAGTGTAGTATCTAGAAATGAAAGGAGGCTGGAAATAACACCCTATAATGACACAGAAAGCCCACATTTGGCAGAGACTAAGGATTCTACAGTTCTAGACATAGACCAAGTGAGGGAAATAAATAGTTTTAATGATTCCAGTTAAAAGAGCAAAACTTTACATCAAATTTCTGAAAATACTGTGAGCCTCTGGAAGACCTTCACAAGGTTAAAAACAGTCCTGCACATTCCTGATGCCAATCAAGTGGAAGTATTAATGTGGGAGCAATTTTGGAAGTGTTTCAAGCATCATTTACATCAAATGATAATAAATATAAAAAAGTTAAAAACATAATACTGCATATTAGCTTCTGTAGCACAACCCTCCTCTTTTTGTTTAGCCACCCTTGCCTTTCCTTTATGAATAAATTCCTCTCAAATCAGGAAAAGAAACACTTGCCCAGCCTTAACCAATATTCAGAATTTATTTTAAGAAGCCAAATCTGAGCAAAAGAAAGAAACAAAAAGGATGTGAGGAAAAATCACCCAGGGAAGAATGGTGAATACAACTCTGTATTATATAAAATAGCAGCACCTCAGAGAAGGTACCCAAATGTCAACCTGACACTGTGTGTCTGATAGGAGGCTGAAAATTTGGATCCAAACTCCTTCCACATGGAGTGATTCACTAGAAAAACTGCCTGCATTCATTTGAAATTAATTTAAAAACTCCAAACCTCATCACACAAGACAAAGTTCAATGGGTGTGACAAAGCCAAAACTACCTGGGAGTAAACCAACAATTTCTGTTTTTAGAGAAGTGTCCATGTGCAGGTACACAGCAATCACCAGCAACATCAACCACAACTCTGAGCAAGATCACCTTAAAGCCCATAACATCTGTGTTCCCCTGCAGCTGGACTAAATGTTAGAAGTTTAACTTCAAAATCATTACATTCTACAGAAAAAGGGGAAAAAAATCCAAGCAAACAAAACCCCCAGTATATAGAAAATAGGACATTTCAGTCAATTTAAAATTGATTTCAGAACATGAACATTTGCCAGACAACTGATTGGTATCTCTTAGAGAATAATATTAACAAAAAAATTAAATTAATAAAAATTAAATAAATCTTTCTGTTTCACTGGCAACACAACATGGGTGGCAGACTGTAAAGCAGCCATAAATCTCAGTACATCCCCATGATTTTAGGCCATTTTAGAACAGTATTTGTATCATCAGGGAACACTGTCTGTGGTCTAAGGTCAAGTTTCCACAATTTATACAGTAGAGGATACAGAAGGAGTAACCAAGCAGCACTGCAGGCCTATGATCCATCAGATCTTGTGACTGGGACAGAATTCCTTCTAGCCATGAGCATGTAAAGAGACAGCACTCCCAACATCTTTTTGGCAGGGAAAATAGAGTGAAAATATTCTGTACTCTCCCAAGGGAGCCCTATTTTATAGATTATTTGGTTCTTCTGCTTAAAAAACAGTGTTGACAAAAGTCAAAAATAATGACTTAAAGTTAGAAAATGAGCTAGAATTGATGATTTCATATTTTCTGGCAATCAATTTTAGACAGAAGAGTAGCTAAAAGCTACTTCCCAGTACTCATTTTCAACATATTTCAATCAAGATTTGCAAAGGAGTAGGAATCCACCACACCCTCCTGATCTTGTTCCTCCACAAAGCCTCTACAATCAGAACCACAAAACAAACAAATTGCTTAACTGTGTTCTACAGAGAAAAAAAACAAAAAGCTGGATCTAATCTTTCAACATCTGAAGAACCAACCAGCAACCTGCATTCTTCAGCTGGTTTGGGCCTTTAAATTGCCTGTCACATTCACACTTTTGAGGTGGTATAAAGACCATGTATGAGAGCCAAGGCAGAGGCTCTGACACTGCAGCCACCACCCAGGTGGGACATCCCCACCTCTGCTCCTCCAGGGCAGCTGCTCCTGAGCATGTGGGAAGAGCTGCCATGGGAATCAGCCAAAATGCTCCTTTTTCTTCCCACGGTATGACAACACAACTTCCAAAAGCTAACACAGCAAGTGTTATATTTCACTTCAGTCCAGCAGCAGCTGAGCCAAGCTATCCAGATATTTATCAGAGAAAGAACCCTACCCGCAGGAAGTTTCCATTCCACCCACCACATTGTGCCTATTAAAATGTCAGGTTAGCATGCCCCAGCAGGAACCACTCTCACCCCTGCCATGTGTGTTTTACAGGGAAGCATAACCAGTAAATCAAGTAATAATTGTGAAAGCAACCCACATAAAGAAGATGCAAATTAAGGAAAACTTCCTTTTTTAAAACTACTTACTCCGTACTTGTTTAATAACAGGTTTCATAGGTTCCAGCCAAATCTGAAATTGAAGAGAAAAAAATTACAAACTTGCATTCTTATTTAATAGAATATGAAAACATCAAAAGGAAATTCAAATTAAGCAGTAATTTATGAGTAGCATTTCTTCCTCAATGCAGTAATTCCTTTGCTTTACAAAAAGTGTACCTATCTGTTTGAATTGACATTTCTCATGCATCAATACAAAAGCCACTGATCTGTGCTTAAAGCTCATCTGGACAGAAGAAGAGCCAGGTCAGCAAAAGCAGAGCCCCAGTGCCAAGAGGGCAGGAGTCATGCCAAAACCCACAGTCTGACAGGAGCCAGGCTGCAGAATTACAGAAAATCTGCAGAACATGAAAAGCTCCAATGGTTTTTTTCCCTTCTGTGCTATTTCTGTCACTCTTCCCTACCTACTTAAAGCTTTTTACTCAATATTAACTTCCCACCATGTTTTCCCTTTTGACAAGCACATTTTACAAGAAACACTTTTGTTCTAGTAAAAGGAGAATCCAAAAAAGCAATGCAAAATATTCTGCAAGCTCAACCTTTTATTTTCCCCACTCTTCCAAAGAAAAAATTGTTACAAGGCAAATATGTTTGGTCTTTACCAGTTACTGCTCTGTTTGTGAGACAGCTGAGGATTTTAAGAACATTATTAGCTGCATGAACAGTTTGCACACCATGCACAAGCAACAGAAACTAAACAAGCTTTAGTGTATTTCCTCAGCTCAAGAGCAGCATGGATAATGCCTTTAGCACTCCCTATATTCTCAATCACATTCTCTGCATGTGAGTCCTAAAACTAAAAAAAAAAGTAATTAAAAAAAAAAAGTTGAAAAAACCAAAACAAATCAAAATGAAAGGAAAGTTTGGGGAACATTTTCTAGTTTAGAAGCCACACTGTCCTCTTTGCAAGGTTCAGGATAAGTGACTAGGAGGCTTAAAGGTGTCAGCATTGATCTAAATCAATGATTTAAAAAGCTTGCAGGCCTTTGTGCCTGCTGAGGTTTTTGTTGATTAGAAAGAGGTTTGTAATGGGTCTTCAGGAAAATTAATTGAAGACTGAATTAACTGAAGATAAATACGAACACTACCAAAATTACACACCACAATTTGATTTGGTAAGTGCTCTGCAGAGTACACTTTGAGTTCATGTTTCTCCTTTCAGAGGAAAGGAGGATTTTATTTCTGTCCCTGCAAGTGGGAACATCAGCAGCTATTTAAGTTTATACAATTTCTGAGACTTAACAAGAAGCAGGATCTGATTCCTCCCTTCTTCTTCAATAGCTCTTGTCATTCTGGTGAGTAAAACAGATTAACAAGAATCCAAGAGATAATCCCACAGGAGACTACAGGAAACTGCAGCAGGCTGAGAAATTTTTGTCACTCAAGGAACTGCATTCACCCAACCTTTTTATTATACCAGATTTGTCAGGGAACTGAACTCACCCAATATGACTGGATATTCTGGAACTCAATTCCAAAGTAATCTGATTCAATCAAATTCAGATGCTTGTAAACTTCTGTCAATAATGTCTGGCCGTAACATTTTGACTAAGGAAATAATAATAAAAAAAAGTTACAGTGAGATTAATAAGAAAAAACAAGAATAAGTTTACAACAAAACCAAATGGCATCTTTATAAACTGGAGAAAAACATCACAAAGTATAGGAATGTGCCTTTTGTTGATGGAGTGACCAAACTATCCTTTGTTCCCTCAAAAACAAAGAAGCCCAGGGGTTTCTCTCCTCGATTAGGTGAAAAAGCCACCTCAAAAGACCTTGAGGACTTCACCTCAAACTTAAGGAGAGCCAATTGGACAGAAGCCAAAAAGTCCTGCCTAAACAATTTACCAGAAAAAGAAGTTAACAAAGAAACTAATCACTTTTGTAAGGTGTTTCACCTTTTGTAAGGGGCAGGAGGACCTCTTGCACCTGGCTCGATTTTTCTCTGTTTGTTATTTTACCTTTTATTAAACCTTTTTGTTTCCAACACTGCAACAGAAGCCATCCTGCTGATTTCATGTCTCCAAAGGTAGCTGAGCTATCTTGGGTGAGTACTAGACCTCCAAGAGATAACGAGACCTGGCTCGAAGAGGCTACTATTACTACAAAGATCATTCACGGCGTTCTTGTCACTGTAACACACAAATATCCAACATACAAGACTCCATACAAAAATCCTCCACAGAAGCAGAGGAACTGAAGTTGACAGGGGCCACTGGAGGTCACCTACCCCCAGCCTCGTGCTGCCAGCAGGGTCAGCAGAGAGCTGAGGACAGCAGCTGCGGGCTATTTGCAGCTCCCTCAAGAAACCCACACGTTTGTTTGTGTAGCTGAGTGCTGTGGTCTGGAGCAGGAGCTGCCAAAGCCCTGCTCCACACAGACCCTCACTCACTCCTTCCCACCGCAGGGACCCCAGGGCCACCCCCAGGCTAGAAATGCCTGCGGACAGCGGGAACCCAACCAAACCTCCTCTCACACCACGCTGCCTGGGCAATCCCGTCAATGAATCCCTCCCTCAAGAAACTCCCTCACTCACAAACCCTTTCTGAGAGCCAAGTTAGGGGCAAAGCCACAAACATCAGCAGAAATCAGCTACAGCAGAGAGCAGGATAATGGCACAGCACACCCAAAGCAGTGACACTTGGGGCTGCTGGCTCAGTCACCCCCTTTGCTCTCAGCACCTCTCACTGCAGCAGGCACCAGGAGAAAACCAGCACCTCTGAACCCACACATCAGCACATCTGCATCACTCAGCAAAGAATCCAAAGGGCTGTCACAGCCCATCTCAGCAACACACAAAACCTAGCGTGGCCACCAAGCTCCACCTTGGGCCACAAAGCAGTGGCCCAGCTGTGGGGACAGGGTGTGGCACCATTCTGGATGGATGCCTGGGTTACCCAGCAGAATGCACTGACAGCCTTGATGCCACTGTGGGTTTGCTCATTTGGAAAAGCCCAGTGGTGGAAGACTCTATGACTTTCCCATCTCCCATCAAAGCAGGCACAGAGTTCTGTAATGACTCTACACACCCAGAATAGTACCTGCTTTAAAAGTATTAGGCATTATAATAAATTATCACAGAGTCACAGGATGATTTGGGGAGGAAGGGACCTTTAAACTCATCCAGTCCCACCCCTGCCATGGGCAGGGACACCTTCCACTGTCCCAAGGTGCTCCAAGCCCTGTCCAGCCTGGCCTTGGACACTGCCAGGGATCCAGGGCCTTCTCTGGGCCACCTGTGCCAGGACTTCACTACTCTCACATCAGGAAAGAATTTCACAGGGAAGAATTTCTTCTCAACATTTCATCTAAATCTACCCTTCTTCATTTCAAAGCCAAATTAGTAATAGAATTAGAATAATTTAATACAATGCAAATTAAAATATCTGAAAGCAAGAATGTGTTATTTTAGGCTTAAAAGATAAAAAACAAGGGGTGACATTGGAAAACAGTTTCACATGATTGAGGTGCATAAAAAATTCAGAAGTAATCACCTCTTACAGGAAAAAGATATAAACTGTCAAAGTTTTTAGAGCAGTGCAAATGCCTCTACGACTCTTAAAAAACCCCTAAAATTTCATAGAGAAAAAGTCTGAGAGCCCTGCAGTGCTGCAAATCTGAAATAGCTTTGGTATCTGCAGTGGTGTGAGCAAAGCTCACTGAATCCAACCTCAGAGAAAAACAGAGAAGCAGGACACAAGATGGGTTTGTACCTCTCACTCAGGCTTTCAGCAGCCATGGTACCTGTAAGAGCAACCACAGCTTCACTCAGGTGAATTCATCTGGTGCAAACACAAATCATTCAAAAAGTTGCTTGGTATCACACTGGCTCAGGCCACTGATGCTGAAACCCGTAAATAAAACTGCAAGTCAGGAGAAATGATGCAATTCTCAGTGACTGCAGATGGAACAGAGATGCCAGGCTGAGTGCTGACATGGTACATGAATTTGAGTATTCATATCTTTTTCTGAATGGGTTCTGTGATGTCTAAAAAGGCATTTTCTTGGTAAGAATACAGCTGCACTGTTTTAGCCAAAATCTGTGCTTCCAGAAGACTCTGTGGGTATGGGCTTTGGTTTTTAAATGGTGACAATGAAATAAGGAATGACACAGGTAATGGCAAGCCACATCTCCAGTAAATTACATTATTTCTCTGCTGTCTCCTGAACATTTCCCATGCAGGTTAGACTCTGCCACAAGAGACACTTATGCCTGGAGAAATGAATTTTGAAAATCAAGTTTTTTTAATTTTTAACTGAAACACATTTCTTGCTATTCACAGAATGACCAGGTTGGAAGAGACCTTAAAGACCATGGAGTCCAACCCAGCCCCAACAGCTCAACTCAACCCTGGCACCCAGGGCCACATCCAGGCTTTGTTAAACACACCCAGGGATGGGGACTCCACCACCTCCCTGGGCAGCCATTCCAGAACTTTATCACCTTTCTGTGAAAAACTCTTTCCTAACATCCAACCTGAATTTCCCTTGGTGCAGCTTGAGGCTGTGTGCTCTGGTTGTGTCAGTGCTGCTGGAGAAAGGCAACACTGACAGAACAACCCCAACCTGAGCACAGGCACCTTTCAGGGAGTTGTAGAGAGTGATGGGGTCACCTCTGAGTCTCCTTTTCTCCAGACTGAGCACCCTCAGCTCCCTCAGTTGTTCCTCAAGTTCCCTCAGTCACTCCTCAATGTACTATGCTATGGACTTGTGCATAAATCTTAAAATAGGAACAGAAGAAAAGATCCTCAAATATAGCAGGACCCTTGTTTTTTAAGGTCCATACCCACACACCTGTAACTGTGCACCTCCTTTTCCCAGGCCCCACAGAAGGGAACACTTTTCAGGCAGCAATGTCTGTGGGGAGGCAGCAATACCCTGACCAACCTCATGTGCAGAAAATGGGACGTGCACCTTGCCTTTGCATGGTACAAACCTTCAGAAGCCTCTGAACAGGACATGTCCTGTGCCCCAGGTCTCTGATATCTCAGTCATTAAACAAAACCCAGTTCTGGTTCCAACATCACCTTTTGTTAGAGCTGGCACAGTTGGATTAACTCCTGAAAGATGCCTGCTGACAATCAGACAAGTTTTACAGCCAAACTGAGCTGCACTGATCAAGGGATCTGTGTGCAGGGCTACTTCCATCCAGGCATTAAAATGATCCCAACTGGATTTTAATACACAGCTTTCTTCCTTTCCCACTCAGCCACAGCTCCTGGCTCCATCAAGGTCTGTGCCTGAAGACAATCCAGCTGCCTTCATCTCTCCCAAAAAAGAGGCTTTATGGCACAGATCCCTGGCACTTCTCCCCTTCCACTGTCAAGTCCACACTCCTTCAAGATAAACTGGAGATGAAGAAATTTAGATGGTTGGAGCTGGAAGAACTTGACAACCAAAATTATAATTAAATTATAAAGGTGCCATCCAAATGTTAAAAGTGTAAAATAATTTTGCTTGGGTTACCAACTGTAATTTTGGGTGTCATTTACAATGAAAAGCTAAGAAAAACCTCAGTTTAAGCTCAGTATCATTTTGCATCTTTCAAAGGATAAATGTCACATTTTAAAAGAACAGTATTAATTTTATTTTAGAATAAAAATGGAGTTCAAAAGCTTGAGACAGAACAGTCTTTTATTATTTTGCTTCAAATTCTTTGGGAAAACTCCTCCTAGAAGTATTTGATTCCTCAAGTTGTTTATTGCATTTATAACCATGCTTTCCAAAGAGTTGAACATTTTGAAGTAGACAGAAATGAAAGTAACATAGTGGGCAGCTCCATGTCATTGTTTAATTTGCATAAAAGCAGCACAAAGCAAAATATTTGACGTAATTTCTTAATTACTGTAATTTTTACAGCAAGGCAAGTAGCTGCATGAATGCATTTCATAAAGGTCCTGCTTTCAATACAAATTCACAACATGGCATACTTTCCATTCCAAACCTCTCAATTACTCTTTATTTTCTGCCAAGACAATGACTACTGATATTTCTGAATTATTTCACATTAAAAAAAGAAGAAAAAATTGGGCAAAAAAACCTAAATAGGCAGCTAACAACAACTTTCCTTGGTGACCCTCCTCTAACTGTACTGTGGATAATTTTAATGAGTCACCATTAAAAGACTGATAAGTAGAATAGATTTATTTCAAATTGATTTTGATAGTGAAATCAAACTTTAGAAGTTCCCTCAGAGCTGCACAAGTGCCAGCAGGTGCCCTGGCAGCCAGTGATGGCACAGAGAGCCCTGTGTGGCAAGAGAAACCCCAAACCAAACCCCAAAACCCTCCCAGTGCTAAGACAGCATCAAACAGGAGCAGCCATTCCCAGCTGAAGGTTCCTGCCTCAAGGAGATATCTTTATTTTTTACTTTATAAGAATAAACATATTTAATGTTAGGAGTGCTTAGGACAGAGGTATAAAATATAAATTTTTTTTAAAGTAGTAACAGCAGTTATTTTTGTTTTATAGAACAATATAATCACAGGATGGTTTGGATAGGAAGGGACCTTAAAACCCATCTCATTCCACCCCTGCCATGGGCAGGG